CCCTCCTATTGATACCTATATCTAAGTGGGAAGATCTAACGGAAGATGAAGAAGCAATCTAAACTCTTGATGAAGTGTACGGTGATGATGTGGAGGAGCTCGATCTGCTTGTGGGCCTCATGGCAGAGAAGAAGATCACGGGTTTCGCTATCAGTGAGACAGCTTTTATTATATTCCTTCGTATGGCATCAAGGTATACAAACAAACTACTGATCACAGTTAATGCTAAACATATATATATATATATATATATATATAAATTCACTTACATAATGGTCTTGAATTATTGATACTCAGTGGTCTAGTAATGAGATTTATAAAAAAAGGAGTGGATTTACAAAATTATAATAAAATATTTCAAATAAATCTAAAAATTAGTTTAACTGAACTAAAGTACCAAAAATCAGATGGTTCAAGAATTTTAATTTATTGTGATTGAAATGTGGTGGCTAGTTAGTTTTTTTTTTTTTTTTTTTTTTTTAGGATTGCTAAAAATGCTATTACAGACATTTGTTTAATTAATCTTGACTTTTATTTAAATAAAACTAGTAAAAAAAACACTCATACTCAATTAACCCTCAACTTTAAATAGGAAGAATATCTTATGGTTAGTTAAGGATTTTGTGTGAGCATATCACCTAATATATATATGTGTGCGTGCCAGCATATGCACATTTTTGTGTATGTGTATATTTTGTTCCCTCCGTCCTAAATTTAGTATCATCATTGGTTTTTAGCGACACTAAAATTGAGACGGAGGAAATAATATATATTGTATGTACAATGCAGGAGGTTAGAAGCTGATAGGTTCTTCACAAGCAATTTCAATGATGAGTCATACACAAAGAAAGGACTAAAATGGGTGAACCCGACAGAGAGCCTAAAAGATGTGATTGATCGCAATTATCCAGAAATGACAGATAGATGGATGAACTCTTCCAGTGCCTTCTCTGTTTGGGACTCACTCCAAATTCTCACAATCCAATTCCCCTCTATTTTCGTGTTGCCCATTAAACCACAACATTCACAACCATTTAAGGAGATGTAATTCTTAAATAATTTAACTATCACGTTGTAATCATAGTAAATTGCATTGCTCAAGTGTTTGTATGAAAAAAAAAAAAAAAAAAAAAAAAAACTATTTGTTATTGAATAAATTATTTGCATATTTGTACGTATTTTGCAATTCTACAATGTTTCATAATTTCTCTTTGTTCTTTGTGCCTGTTGGATGTGTTTGTCAGCAATCTATTCTTAGATATTTGGCATATGGAGCCACTCGACTGTCATGTATTGTCACTTTCACTGGTTTGGGGGGCTCAAACTCACAACCCAAAAAAAAAAAAAAAAGTTCTTACTGTAGTAAATTTTAGTTCAGTCCAAAAAATATATATATATTATTATTAATATTAACTTACCAAAAAAAATATTAATCCACTCTATTAACAATTTCGTTCACTTTTCTTGCAATTTTTAAAAGAAATCTAATGATATAATCTCTTTATTTTAAAAAATTCCAATTCATATTGATTTCAAAAACAGTTTTATGTTTAATAAAATAGAAAATTTAACCCATTGTGTTATTTTATTTCTTAGTTGGCTTTATTTTCTATATATTTAAAAAGAAAAAATAAAAAAAAATCTTCTAGAAGTGACTCCATAAAATACAAACTTTCAACTTTAAAAATGTAACGTGTCATTAAACTATTGGTTTCTCCATCGAAGCCATGAAAAAGCGGCATACAAATCCTTCTGCATATATATTATATATCTCAAAGATTTGCACAAATTGACACCTTAACCAATAAGAGATGGCCACATCATGCTACTAAGGAGATTTTTCTCTCATTGTACCAAAAATTCAACACCACTCTGTAGCAAACACATCAACTTACGAATTATATATATATATATATGTTGTTCAAGTAATGTTGCACATAACAGGAATAATATTCATAATTATTTATATATTTTAATGAATAAAATTCATAATTTGATCATATATATATATATATATATATATATTTTTTTTTTTTTCATTCAAATGCATGGAACCAACAATCAAGATGGCAGTACAGAGGCATAAAGCCAAGTCAAAAAAGACATACAAATCTTGAAGTAAAATAAATAAATGAAGAGCAGACTGCAGATTTGAAGAGAAAACAGAGCCCAACACTCTGCAAACGAAACCATCATGAGAAAATGCAACAAACTGAAGAGACCGAAAAATTTGACCATTAGCACGGTTACTGTTTCAAAATTACAATTACAAGGCGTTCTAACATATACGAAATCTTGCACAAGAACAAATTAAGGATAAAAAGATTAATTCGAGATAGGGACTCCTCCCTGATGAGAAGATAGTAAGTATGTATACTTTTATTTAATTGATCGAGGTAGGAAGTATGGACCAATTGGCTCTGGCTAGCATATTGATAGGGATTCCTCCCTGATCTGATTTTGTGAATCTGTTTTGGTACGTTTTTTATTGCTTTCTTTGTATTGTGGTGAGAAAAATTTTTCAAGATGACAATAAGACCTAAAATGTGGGGGACATCAACAATAAATGTGAATAGTTGATCTCATGAATAGGGACACAGAAGTGTTTGTTTTGCCCGTTTGAAAAGTGTTGTGTTCAAGATTAGAAATGTGAATGTTTGATTTTGTTGTCCATGTTCATAGCATGAGCGGCTAGAGCCTTAGACATGTGAATGTTTGATTTTGTTGTCCATGTTCATAGCATGAGCGGCTAGAGCCTTAGAAATGTGAATGTTTGATTTTGTATGTATATATATAAATTGTGCGGGACATCAACAATAAATGTGAATAGTTGATCTCATGAATAGGGACACAGAAGTGTTTGTTTTGCCCGTTTGAAAAGTGTTGTGTTCAAGATTAGAAATGTGAATGTTTGATTTTGTTGTCCATGTTCATAGCATGAGCGGCTAGAGCCTTAGAATATCTCTAAATCGCTGTGTGTATGTGTATATATATATATATATATATATATGTATATATATATTTGTGTAAATTAGATGTGTCGTAATAAATTTATATAAAAAATTTAAATTATTTATTTTTAAATCAATTTTTACATTTTATGTAAATGTATATTCCCAAAACAACCAACCAGTGTCATGTCTGAATCTAAATAATTTTTACAATCCTACTTAATATAGGGTTGATTTGTAAAAATTAAGAGAGAGGTGAAAAGAAATATGCTGATTTAGCTGTGTAAAAAAGTTGTGTAAAATACACAACAATTTTTATACATTGGTGACGTGGCAATGTATTTTAACAAACGGCTGAACATAAAAAAAAAAATTTACATCATACATGGCAGTGTATATTTTACACAGGGTATTTTAACATAATGCAACAAATAAGAAGGCCCCAAAATATTATAGTTCTCTAGTATAAGTTATATTGAATAGTTTCCTAACATTATTAAGCACTAATTCCAAAGAATTTATCTCCTAAAATAATTTCTTTTTTTTTTTTTTTTGGTTTTCTATCTCCTCATCATCATTCACTCACGCTTTTTAATTAAACTTTAACCAAGTTTATCTCCTAAAATAACTCATTTTTCCTTTTAATTTCTCTCTCCTCCTCATTGACTGTTGTTTAGTAAACCCTAACCAATACACATACTTAATATCGGCCCAAATATTTATATTCTTAAATAATAATTTTTTTTTCTTTCTCTATCTTGTACACTTTTTTTTTTTATTTTTTTTTTACCAGCACTATATATATATATATATAATAAATATTAAAGATGTTAGCCGTTGTACGAGGAAGTGAAGAAATTTTTTATATTCTCTTTTTTTAGTTTTTATTTTGTTTATTTATTTTTTTCTTATTTCCCACATTCATTCTCTCCCCTCTTAGCAAACTCAAAAATTACAAGTCATCTCCCTCCTCAATTCTCTATCATTATAACTTTACAATTTTCTTTCTTCTCGACCCAATATTTATTAGTCTCAATTTGAACGCACTTTTCTTGTATTGAAAAATTTGCAGCAGTATTGAATTGGGGCTTTCTAAATCAGGTTATATTGTTTTTTTTCTTTAATTATTTTTTAGTTTTACTAACTTTTGTTATTATAAATTTGTATATATCTATATTTTTTATATATTTGTTTGTGAGTTGTGACTATTTTTACCCATATTATACGGTTAAATATGTCTACTAAAAAGTATGAATCCGGATTTCAAAAACTTAAAAATAAATAAATAAATAGAATAGAATAGAATAGATAAACTAATTCAATCTGAAGAGGGAACTATTGATAAATTTGTTATAACTAATAATCAAAACCTAACAAAAAATTGTTAAAATCATATTTACGATCAATTATGTCACAAGAAAGATTTAATAGATTGGCTATATTGTCTATTGAAAAAAGATATTTTAAGCATACTTGAATATAAGAATTTAATTAGTAATTTTGCTTTTCAAAAAGCAAGAATGATGATTTTTAATTAATTATTATTTAATACTTAATATATTACATATTATGATATGAAAATGCCATTTTTTTTTTTTTTTTTTTTTTGCCTAAGACCTCGAGTTTACATTGAGCCGCCCCTGATTCCTAGTGCTAGCTGCCTAGTTTGGACCAGTTTTATCTTATTTGTATGGTTTAGATAGCCAGCTCTTGTTTGCCATTTGGAGATTGTTTTAACTTTTAAAGTTCTTTCTCTATTATTGTACTTACCCTGATTCCATGTGTTTTGAAACGTCACTGTATACATGGAGACAATTCAGATAACTTACCGTAGGATCCAAACTCATCTTGATCAGCGTGTGTAAAACATGGAATTTAAACACATTGAAAAATGAAAAATAAAAATCTTGGCCACGTTTTAGAAATGTTATCTAGAATCGAGAGACGTGGCACAATGTTAGTGATGAACAATTCAGCTTAGGTCGGGTGTTGCATGTCTATATAAAGGGAAATCGAGGGGGTCATTTGTTCATCAAAGTTTAAGTTCTAGTCGATCAAGAAATTAATTAAGAAACCATGTCTTATATTGCTATTATAGAGTCCATTAGGACCATCCTCAATGCAGCTTTTCAGCAATTCATCCATAAGGACTTTCATGAAGTTGTAACAAGGATGACTCTCCTTGACAAGCTTCTCTTTCTAGTAAATTCACCCTTGCATATATGCCCTCTCTCTCTCTCTCTCTCTCTCTCTCTCTATATATATATATATATATATATATATCTCCATGTTTAGTAATGCAGCTTATTCACAAGTTTATACGTACAGTAATATATATATACACTATCTGCATATACATGCAAATTAACTTTGACATAAGGTGTACTCACCTCCGAGTCCGCAACGAAGAGAGTCTCGTTTTATTCATTTTCAACCCTCAATTTCCTTTTGGAGGAGTACATTTTCGTTGTATTCTAAGTCTGCAAATTAACTTGGTTTAATTTTGAATGCAGATGGTTCACACCATTGATAAGTGGGTTATGTGGTATCGCCTACCTGTGTTCTTGGGATTGCTTTACCTTGCGACCCGTCGCCATCTTCATCAGCAATACAACTTGATTAACGTTGGAACAACTCCGGTCGGTGTTCGATTCAACCCCGCAGATTATCCTTACCGGACAGCTGACGGAAAATATAACGATCCATTCAATGAAGGTGCCGGCAGCCAAGGAACTTTCTTCGGCAGAAATATTCTTCCTGCTGTTGATGGAACAGCACAGGTTAACACAAACCCTAATTAAGCACTATAATAAATATTAAAATATAATTATCTTAAATTTCTCCTTAATTTCCTTAGTTTAGTATAATATTAGTGGTGAAAAGTGAAAACTAAACTTATGTTAAAAGAAAAATATTTCTGTCCATGACCAAAATGAAAATTTATCATCTCAAGAGTGGCCGGTCTGACTTGAAATTAATGATAGTATTTTTAGTAAGTTATATGATCAATATAATTAACTAAACTCATTCTATGAAACAAATGTAGAATAAGATTTAACAGATGTATCTTAATCTGATTATAATAAGTAACTCTTCTTAAAATCAAATATTACTTATATGATTCCCTTGTTAATTTACTCACCTGCTAATCACTTTAGAAATAATTTGTAAACTCAGAAGACACACAATCATTCGTAAATTATATGCATCATTTTAAATCTAAATTTCACTTTCGATCATACTCGTAGATTTTAAATCAATTTTTTTTTTTTTTATGATAATATTTTTTTTAAAATTTATTTTTTGTTTTGTCATGAGAATATGCAGCTCATGAAGCCGGATCCAACTGTGGTTGCCACAAAGCTTTTGGCACGTAGGAAATTTATTGACACAGGAAAGCAATTCAACGTGATAGCAGCCTCTTGGATACAATTTATGATACATGATTGGATTGATCACTTGGAGGAAACTAAGCAGGTCAGATAGCTAGCTACGCATATGGAACTATAAAGATCAATATTTTTAATTGCCAAATAATTTCAATAATATATGTGACTACTCATGTAGGTAAAAGGTTTATTTAATCTTATTTTTCATTAATAGTTTATGACTTAGATATTCATGTTTTAATTGGACAATATGATTATTGTAGGTTGTGCTTGATGCACATATAGATGTTGCAAATCAGTGCCCTCTCAAAACTTCCAAATTTTACAAGACAAAGGAGGTTTCCACAGGTTTTTATGAGATCAAGAATGGTCACAAGAACACTCGAACACCTTGGTGGTAAGAAAATTAAATTCTATATTTACTATGTATAAATCTATAATCCTTTACTTTCCACTTATTAGCTAGCCTCATGGTATTACTATTGGACAAAACTTTGCTGCAAATGCCTGCTGTAGATGGTTCTTGCTACCCATAACATGATCACATCAATTAATTAGATCAACGGAAACCATAAATTTCATACACAATAGAGGGATCCGATAGATTAACTTAATTCTATCTGCCATGAACACAGCCTGGATATCATTTACCAGACTAATGTGTGTGTGTATATATATATATTTGTTTGAAAGTCTAATGTGTGTGTGTATATATATCTCCATCTGTCCCACTAAAAATGTCCCTTTGTGAGAATCTAACTTTTTAAGAAAATAATATTTATTATTTTTTAATTATATTAGTGATGAATAAATTATCAATTTTACTCCTAGTAGGTACACAATGAGGTGATGGTTTATTTTTTATAAGTTCTAAGAAAATTAAATCGGTAATATTGGAAAAAACAGTATATTGACTTTTCAAATACAACACTTATTTTGGGACAGATAAAAATGAAAAGTAACACACTTGTTTTGAGAAGGAGTGAGCATATCAGGAGAAAGGTAAAAAAAAAAAAAAAAAAAAAAAAAAAAAAAAAAAAAAAAAAAGGCCAAATTCACACCATCCATCTAATAATTAACAGTATAATTCAAAGTTTCGCTAATGGATGCATTTTCAAATGTATAGTTCTTATTTATTTTTAAGATTGTTGTTATAATATTCGAAATTACAAACCAACGTATTTCTTTGATCAAACTAATTGGTCAAATATATTTAAAGTAAAATCTTTCTATATTATTTATGATCGTTGAAATGACGAAATATGTTATTTATTTATGAAACAAATGAGTTGATTTTAAATAAAAATAACTTCTTTGTTTTAAAAAAAAATTGAAAGCTTAAATAAATTATATATATGTTGAGAAGAAAGAGAATGAAATATGATGAATGGTTCACTAAAGAATAATAAACTTTTAAAATTTTACTTTTATAATATTTATTTATTTAAAGTTTCTATTCTAAAGATGAGGTACAAGTTCCACATGAATGAATCTGACAAATTTTTTAAAATATGAATTAAATTTTCTCAATTTTAAAACGTATAAACAATATAGTGAACAAAGAGTAATGATACTCTATTCGATCAAATTGGCCTACTCCTAGTCCAAATCCTACGTATAATTGTCATGTAATTACCTAAATAGTTGATATTTTATTTGCGTGCTAAAAATACCAAAAATAAATATGGAAAGAAGCTGAAGAACTTTGTAATGAACTTTTGAATTACCTAAATAGTTGATATTTTATTTGCGCGCATCCACTTTGCAATGAACTTTTGAATTTTTTTTTTTTTTTAATCAAATCCCCAAAATTAATACAATATACAGAAGATAAAATATATATTTAAAAATAATAAAAAAAAAATTAATGTAATAGGAAGTTGGATTCTGAATATGGTGAAGAGAGTAGGACTTGACAGCCTTTGGGAGAAGATCCTTTGGACAGTTGTACTTCTTAATGAACTTTTGAAGTTCTTTTTTTTATTTTTTAATCAAATTCCCAAAACTGATACAATATATAGAAACCAAAATAAATATTGAAAAAAAAAAAAATGAATACATACTTTCAATCTTATTAGGGTTTCTTTTTTTCTCTTCAAGCAAACATATACATTTATATGTATTTTTCCCTTTGATTTTATAAATCAATAGAGATTTCTCAATGTTTTGTTTTTTCTTCAATTTTGTAAAATGGAAAAAAGAGAACAGTAAGACAGAGAAAGAATCAAGAAAACAGAGGGGGTCGTCAAAATCTCTTCAGCTTCTTTTCAAATTTATTTTTGGTATTTTTAGTACATAAATAAAATATTATCTATTTAGGTAATTACGTAACAATTACACATTTCCTTGTTTAAACTTTAAAAAAGAGAATATGAATTTTTTTATTATTATTAAAGAGTAACAAATAATGTATATGGAGCCCTAAGGCAATACAGGAATCTTGCGAGTGCACAATGCGTTAATAAAATAAAAAAGTATTAAAATCAAAAGGTGACAGCTCTTAACAAACAGAGAAAGTACAAGTTTTAGGATCTTGATTGACCTATCACCATTTTCTTTTAGAAAATAAATAATATGGTATCTTTTATTTCAGTATAATTTTTTAATATTTTTTATTCCTCCATCCGTAAGACTATAGAACTTTATAATTCTCTATCCTTTGCCAAGTAGATATTATGCAGAGTCCTAAATGCTTTCATGTGTGTGTGACTAGGCGAGACTAAGAGATCGATTAATAGAACTTAATTTTTATTTTTTCTTTTTATTTAAATTTTTTTTTGAAACGTAAAACTAAAACTTAATTTTCCATTTTTCTAATTTTAACGAGTATTAATTGATTGCTGATGTCAAAGGGATGGAAGTGTTATATATGGTAACGATGCGGAAAGGTTGGAGAAGGTGAGGACTTTCGTAGATGGAAAGCTCAAGATAAATTTGGATGATGGTCTTCTTCTCCGTGACGAAAATGGGGCTGCTGTGTCTGGGGATGTTCGTAACAGTTGGGCTGGTGTTTCCACATTACAGGCCCTCTTCATCAAGGAACATAATGCAGTCTGTGATGCCCTCAAGGTTCACAACACAACCACCATATTACCAATTATTGTTTCAAAAAAGTTAATATAGAGTGAGATTCATATATATGAATATATGTATTTATTAGACTCACGACTTTGTTTGTATTGTGATATTTCAGGAAGAAAATCCTCAATTGGTCGATGAAGATTTGTACCGCTATGCAAGGCTGGTGACTTCTGCTGTGATTGCAAAAATTCACACCATTGATTGGACGGTAGAACTTCTCAAAACGGACACGTTACTTGCAGGAATGCGTGCTAATTGGTAAATTATCCATATAAATTTAAATTATTTTGTCAAATTTTTTACTTTTATATATATCAAAATATTTCTCAATCTAGTAATGGAATAATTAGTAATAATACCATTATTTTTATTTCAGGTATGGATTGTTGGGAAAGACATTCAAGGATTTATTTGGACATGTTGGTGGATCCATTCTTGGAGGGTACGTGGGCATGAAGAGGCCTGAGAATCATGGGGTTCCATATTCATTGACTGAGGAATTTGTCGGTGTTTATAGGATGCACTCACTCCTACCTGATCACCTCCTCCTTAAGGACATCACAAAAGAACCAGGACCCAACAAATCTCCACCATTGAATAAAGAGTACATCTTTTCTTTCATTTGTTGTCAATTAAAGTTATCATATTGAGTCCGAAAATCAAACATATCGAATTACATTTATGTGATGAAAAAAATCTTATATCCTCACATAAAAAGATATCGTTTTTTATTGAATTACTAGAAATTGTTTCAATTACTGACTACTAGTATATTTGTACGCATAATAACCCTTGTACAAAAATTTCAGGGTTCCTATGGAAGACCTGGTTGGTCTTAAGGGTGAGCAGACCTTATCGGGAATTGGATTCGAAGCCCAAATGGTTTCAATGGGCCACCAAGCTAGTGGGGCCCTTGTACTATTTAATTATCCACAGTTTCTTAGAAACCTTGTGCCCCAAAATGTAGATGGGACAGATAGACCTGATCCCATTGACCTGGCAGCCCTTGAAGGTACGCAGTGTGTTCAAAGTTAATTATCTAGACCGTTGGTTTAGTGGGTCACCACCACATGACGTGGAGTTGAGTTGATCAAACGGTTGATGATGCAGTTTATAGGGACAGGGAGAGGAAAGTTCGTAGATACAATGACTTCCGTAGGGCCCTCCTGTTGATACCTATATCTAAGTGGGAAGATCTGACGGATGATGAAGAAGCTATCAATGCAATTCGTGAAGTGTACGGTGATGATGTGGAGGCGCTCGATCTCATTGTGGGCCTCATGGCAGAGAAGAAGAGCCCTGGGTTCGCCATCAGTGAGACAGCTTTTGTCATATTCCTTCTTATGGCATCAAGGTATACAAAGTGATTTTTATAATAGCATGATAAAAAGAAAAATTATAAAAATCTCTATACTCCACTCAATCATGCGTCTCAACGTAGCTGTAGAATTCATGTTCGTAACTGTTGTGGTAGGCCCTTGTCCAACATCGTGTAAATATTATTATCTTTGCATAATTTTTTTTTTTAATTTTCATAATTAGTTTTAAAGCTCTCCCCCTCCTCCCGAAACGATGTGGGACGTGACAATATACAAATATAAATATATTGCACGAAAAATGCAGGAGGCTAGAAGCAGATAGGTTCTTCACAAGTAATTTCAATGAGGAGACATATACAAAGAAGGGACTGAAATGGGTGAATACCACCGAGAGCCTGAAAGATGTGATAGACCGCCATTATCCAGAGATGACAAACAAATGGATGAACTCCGCAAGCGCCTTCTCGGTGTGGGACTCGCCTCCTGATTCTGTCAAACCAAGTCCACTCTATCTTCGTGGTGCTCCTAATTAAAGTACAACATTCACGTCTACATATAGTTATATAAGTACTCCCTAAATAAGTTTAATTATCATGCAATCATATCATATTGCACTGCTCTTTAAATATATATATATATGTTATATTGCATCTCTCTTTTAAAATAAAAAATAAAAATAAAAATAATGCATCATATTGCATTTTTCATCCGTTAGTATGAAAAACTATTTGTAATGGAATAAACTATTGCATTTTTATCTATTTGTATTGAAAAACTATTTGTATGTGTTATGCAGTTATACTATGTTTGATAAATTTTCTTTGTGTGGGTGGTGGATATGTTTGTGAGCAAGCTAGCGATTCTATATGCTTTTTCTTTTTTTTTTTTGTTTTCTTTTATATATATATATATTATGACCACGAGGACAATGGCAGCATCGGGACATCAGCAATTCACGAACAATTCAAAAAGAATGTTGCTCCTTCAAAGCACCTTAATGTCGAACTAAGGACGGAACATCTATATCATGTCTCTATTTTACTGAACCAACCCGCATGACTAGATATATATATATATTGCTAAACTTGTTTGTCATCAGCTCTGAATAAAAAAAAAAAAAAAAAGGGGAGAATATGTGCTAAATAAAATAGGAAAATGATACTTAGGTCCAAATGGAATGAACTATGATGAAATTCACTTAGGTCCCACTACAATGTACTCTATGAAAATGAATGCAGAATCTTGAATCAAATGCGTTAATTAAATAAAGTCGGTCTTTGTCCACTTTCCAATAAAAACGAAGTGATGTCTATTACTAGTTAAGATTCAAATTTTCAAAATTAATGTGATTAATTTGAACTCATTTATCAATTCATCTTAAGATCAAGCTTCAACCAGTTTTCACATTTAGTTTGTTTTGTTGAACTTATCCCCTTGTGTTAAATTCAATTATTTGCTGAGACTCCAAACCCATCATATATCAAGATGGTGTGGTGATGGGTAGGACTCAGAGAAATTGAAGGAGGAGAGGTTATGAATCAGGTGGTTGGTGGGTTATCGTTTGAAGTGGCTGAGGACTGGTTCAGTGGTTGGTGGAGGAAGCTCACGTCGACGTAGTGATGGCTGTTACCTGAGAATTGCACTGTTCAGTCCCACTCAATTTAACCTTAAATTTCTTTCTTAATTTCATGCGAAATACTATTTTCCCCTCTTCCAATCCAATTTTATTTTTTTATTATAGTTTTAATTACTGTTCTGTTTCAACAATATTATTTCCTTATATGTATATCAAAATTTTATATATATACAGAAGCAAACTAAAGAGATACCCTATACAAAATAAATGGTCACATCTTTTTCTTTTTTCTTTCCCTTAACCTCTTTTCCTTGTCTATTATTACAATTACTTTTTTTATTATTATTCTTTTTAATCTAACCCAATAGTGCAGAGAGCATAGATGCTTGTGTGTGTGTGTAAATATATATATATATATATATATATATATATATTTGGGTTTGAAACTGCTTGTATATAATTAATTAAATGGTTTTGAAAATATTATTATTATTTTTTTATATAACTGAAAAGGAAGGCACGCTGGATATATAGGTATTTTTATTTTGTAGTGTTATGCCAAGGACTTCAAATTTGGCATATGAGAACAATCTTGTGAAATCAATAAATGTTGATTTTTTGTTTTTATATAATAATTTTCCATATTCATTTTGTTGGTGAGGTTAATATACAAAATGTGAAGGGTAAAAGGGAAAGGGAAAAGGGCAAAATTGGATTTTCAAATTTACTTTTAATTACAAATTTCAGGGTTCCTATGGAAGAACTGGTTGGTCTTTAGGGTGAGAAGACCTCATCAAAAATTGGATTCTCAGCCCAAATGGTTTCAATGGGCCACCAAGCTAGTGGGGCCCTTGTACTCTTTAACTATCCACACTTTCTTAGAGACCTTGTGGCCCAAAATGAATATGGGACATTGGGACATAGAGACCTGAATAGCTGATCGCATTGACCTAGCAGCCCTTGAAGGGTAGTGTTCAAGTTAATTACTCTGGACCGTTGCTTTAGTGGGTCGCCACCATATGATGTGAAGTTGAGTTGATTATACGGTTGATGATGCAGTTTATAGGGACAGGGAGAGGAAAGTTCGTAGATACAATGAGTTCCGTAGGGCCCTCCTGTTGATACCTATATCTAAGTGGGAAGATCCGGATGATGAAGAAGCCATCAATGCAATTCGTGAAGTGTACGGTGATAATGTGGAGGCGCTCGATCTGGTTGTGGGCCTCATGGCAGAGAAGAAGATCCCTGGGTTCGCCATCAGTGACACAGCTTTTGTCATATTCCTTCTTATGGAATACAAAGTGATTTTTTAGTCAAATGATATGATGTATTAAACTTTTATTTCTTTATTTTTTTTGCAAATATGATGTATTAAACTTGAAAAGTGTAAATTGACATTTATAATAGCATAATAAAAAGGAAAAATATAAAAATCGATAATTACTAGTTATGTGTCTCACTTAGTTGTACATTTCATGTTTATTCCTATTGTAGTATGCAATATCATTCACTTCACACATTTTCTTTTTTGCTCTACACATAAATAAGTGTTACCAAACTTCTCCCCTTTCTCCCATACGATGTCGAATGTGACAATATATATATATATATATATATATATATTTAAAATGCAGGAGGCTAGAAGCAGAAAGGTTCTTCACAAGCAATTTCAATGAGGAGACGTACACAAAGACGGGACTGAAATGGGTGAACATCACATAGAGCCTGAAAGATGTGATAGACTACCATTATCCAGAGATGACAAAGAAATGGATGAACTCTGCAAGTGCCTTCTCAGTGTGGGACTCACCTTCTGATTCTGTCAAACCAATTCCACTCTATCTTTGTGCTTCTAATTAAAGTACCACATTCTAGCCTATATATGGTTATATAAGTGCTCTCTAAATAAGTTTAATTATCATGCAATCATATCGTATTACACTGCTCTTTATATATATATATATATATATATATATATATATATGAGATACATGTAGATCCTCACACCATTCTGATTATTGATTTGGACTAATAAAACATGAACACGTCATCTTTAATTACCAAATAAAAAATAATGGGATATACATTCATTTATCAAATCAGATATGGTGATTAATTACCAAATCTAATTTAGTAATTAAAAGAAAACGTCATCATATGTTGTTGGTCCACATCACTAGTCAGAATGATGTAGATTCTCATTCACTAGTGAGGATCTAAGTATCGTTTTATATATATTATATTGCATCTCTCTTTTTATTTAAAAAAAAAAAAAAAAGAAAAAAAAAAAGCATCATATTGCCTTGTGTTAGTATTTGCGTTGGTATGAAAAACTATTTGCAATGGAATAAATTATTGCATATTTATCTATTTGTATTGAAAAACTATTTGTAGTGGAATAAATTATAGCATATTTATATATTTGTATTGAAAAACTATCTGTAGTGGAATAAATTATAGCATATTTATATATTTGTATTGAAAAACTATCTGTAGTAGAATAAATTATAGCATATTTATATATTTGTATGTATCATGCAGTTCTACAATAGTAGAATGTTTGATAAATTTTCTTTGTGCGCGTCGTGGATATGTTTGTGAGGAAGCATGTCCGTAACTCTGTAAGCCTCTTCTTTTCGTTTTCTTTATATATATATATATATATATATATATATATATTGTTAAACTTGTTTGTCCTGGTGAAATAGGTTGTTGATGCATACAAAAGCAGATCTGATCAAATGTAAAAAAAAAAATATTGGAGAATACGCATGGGGCTCAATATTAAAAAAGGAAAATGATGCGTACTTAAAACACATTAATGTAAGTGGGATGGATGGGATTCACTTGGGTCCCACCACATTGCATCCTATGAATATATAAATGCATAATCTTGAATAAAAGGAGTTAGCTAAAGTCTTCTTCAACATATTTCAATAAAACAATGTTATTGATGCATCTAAAAGCATATATATAGAGCCCTATATAGAAGTATTAAACATATATACAAGAGCTATAACAAAAGGAGTGAAGTTTATTAGTTGGTTAGTCAAGATTCAAACAATTGAGGCTCCAATTTTCAAAACTTGGTTAATCTGAACTCATTTATCAATTCATCTTAATATCGAACTTCAATCACTTTTCACATTTAATTTGTTTTGTTGAGCTTATCCCGTGTTAAATTCAATTATATATTTGCAAATATTCAAACTAGGGTTAAGGTCAATTCGCACTATTTTAGCATAAGTCAATAATCTCAAGGAGATTCAATTTCGTTAAAAAATAAATAAATAAAATAAAATAAAATAAAATCTCTACGATATCTCTCTAACTCAACTCCAACTCAAGTTTGTTGAAACAATTGCTTTACAAAAGCACAAGCGTATGTTTAATAAATATAAATTAATTATGTGTTTGTTGTTAAAAATTGGATCTATTATTGTGTTCATTGCCAAATGGAGAAAATAAACTCTTCATCTCTCTTCTTTTTTTCTTTTTTTTTTTCTTTTTCTTTGTCTCTCATAACAAACAAAATATAAAAATTAATTAATTATTCTCTTTCTCTTCTTAGTCTTGGAATATATATATACCTTAAATAACTTAACACTATCTCATCATCAGCCTTTCAACATAAAAGGTTGGGGTTTAAGTTCACACAGTAACCACAAATGTGTATATCTTTTTTGGGGACAAAAAATAAAGGGTAAATTACTGTGAATTTAAACCACAAAAATAAAGGGTAATGTGCATATCTTTAGTGCAATTGTCTGTGCGTCACTTGGAAGGGAGGTCTGCGCAAATTAGTTTTATTTTTAGCGAAGGTCTGAGTAATTTCCTAAATCATATGGGAAGTCCTTATAATTATGGCAAATCATAGAGAAAGTCCGTGTAATTTATTCAAAAGTAAATTATTGTTGGGTTTGGGAGCACTAATGGCTTGGATTTGGAACTGAATCAGTACTTTAGATTTAAGATTCGAGAAAATTTAGTTCAAAATTTTAATTTTATTTCTTTCAATATTTATTGATTCGGTACTCCTAAACATAGCAATATAATAAATAAAAAAAAATTATGTTTTCGAGGCTTAAGTTTGGATAAGGGCATTTGTGAGGGTGTGAGTTTTTTTGTCAATGAAAAAGGAAAGAAAGAAATAAAATAAAAAAATTATTGTTTGAATTAGAAAAATATTAAGTATGAACTCACTTATTAAATAAAACCTATGTAGCAACGACACGATACGATACGGATATGTCGACAGGTCAAAATTTTAAAAAATAGAACACGTGTACAGCGTGGATACGGTTACATAATACTATAAATTTGGGTAAAGTTTAAAAAACTCCCTTGAACTATATTTGAATTTGCAAATAACCCACCTGAACTATATTTTGTGCATAAAACCCCCAAAACTTGTTACAACATACCCCCAAGGACTATACTATATTTCATTAAATAACCATAATGCCCCTTCTTATTGAATTACATTTGATATATTTTTCTTATCTAAATAAATTATAAAAAAAAATTCATACTAATTTGATGAGATATTTTCTATTAAATTTGTATAAATTTTTATCTTTAATTTTTTAAATTAATTATTTAAACAAAAAATGTTAGTATAAATTTTTTTAAAAACTTAATTGTTATTTTTTTTAATTTTTAATGATTATATTACATGAAAAGAAGGTATTTTTTTTCAAAAGTATTTTATTAATTTTTCATTAATATATTGTATGAAAAAGATGATATTTTTTACGATAAAAATGTTTAAATTGGTTATAATACGTTTTATTATAAATAATAAAGTTTTAATAATAAGTTAATCAATTTATAAAATAGTAGTTACAAATCTATTTATTTATTTGTTTTTATTGGTTATAAAACGGTCAATTCAATCCATCATCCATGGACGATTCAATCCAGCCGAGCCCGTCACCGATGCCATCATCCACGGCCGAGCCATCATATCACCATCTTCAACCTTGCACATAACTAAATCGCTTTCTCTCCTCATCTCTCTCTTTTTCTCTTTGTATATATATATCAATGCTTGTATAATTCTTCAATTCTAAAGTGTCCAAACAATCAAAGAATTCCCAAAAAAAAATAGTGTTCAATTGACGGCATCAGATTGAGGGTAATGTTGTCTTTTGACTTTTTCGGCACCCTCTTGTTGAATGGCTAGGGTTAAATACAACAATTTGTTAGTTCAAGGGGGTTTTATGTAGTTCAAGTAGGTTAGTTGTAAAACCCTAATAGTCTAAGGAGGTTTATTGTACTTTTCTCTAATTTTTATACTATGTCCGTTGTCCATCTTTGATTTTATAACTTTTTAAGGGGACATGTAATTAATGCATTGTCCTCTTTTAAAATTACCAAATTGTTCTTTTTTATTTAAATATATATAGTTAAAAAGTTTGAAATTTTTTAAAAAGATAAAAGAATAGAAATATAAAGAAAATATGTTTTAACTTTTCAAATAGGTCAACTAATTTGAAACATAAAAAAAAATAAAAAAAAAATAATAAAAAAAAAGACTATTAATAAGGGACGAAGAAAGTATTATATATACTATTATTTTATTATTTTGTCATACTACTGTTTATATTATTTTTAAGATTATTAATAGACTTATGTTACAAATAAGAGAACTATTGCTGCGAAATTATTGGTTAAATGTTCAGAAAAGATCAATGATGTGATCAAAATAATAAAATTAATTTTTATTCATTGACACCTGTATGAAGTTTCAGATATCTATTCGAGAAGTGACATAAGTGTCGGTGAGAAAACAGCTCAAAATGAGCCTTTCTTTCATTTTACTTTCCTCTTCTTTCTGAAACAAACGTCCTTTCCTTTCCCTTCTTTCTTTTCCTTCCAACTAATTTGATGAAATGGATGGACCATCGGTGGAACTTTACACTTTATTCCCTATGTCCTTTTCAGATTTGAAACTCTCACCAAATTTCACATGCTCTTCCTTCTCCTCTCCATCTCTTCAGACTCATCGTGAAGTATCAATCTCCCTTTATTTGCTTTAATCCTTTTGTCCTCCACTATATTTAGCTCATCTTGCTCTTCCTTTTCCTTTTTTCCCTCTTATTTTTTTTTTCCCTGATCCGTTAGGTAGTTTCGTTCTGTCCCTTCTTCACAACCTCCTCAATTTGGATTCTTTCTTGGTTTGTCCTGTCTCTTTTGCCCCTAATTTCAATGGGTATCTTCCTATTTTAGTGTTTCTTTGTTTTAAACTTTAGGGTTTTGATTATCCTTGTAGATCACTTTGGTTTTATCTGTTTCTGGTTGCTTTGCTTTGAAGTTGTCTTCTTTTGACTCATAGAGGTAATCCCAGATCTCAATTCTTATTATTGGTAATGGGTTCTATAGTTTTTCAATCCACCTTGATTTCACCTTTTTGTGTCTCACTTTGATTTTATCTTTTTGTGGGTTGTTTTGTTTTTCATCAAATTGTGTTGGGTTTTTGTAGTTTCTTAATTTACTGTTAATTTTATTTATTTATATTTTTTCAGTTTCAGTTTGAATTCAATGTCACAAGGCTATGCAATTGAGCTTTATTTCGATCCTGCTCTTGAAAACCAGGTCTTGAAGGCCTGGAATGTATTGGCTCGTCGCCAAATCAGTACTCAGCTTATCGAAATCGAATCTAGACCTCACATTACACTGTTTTCCAGTCCTTTCATCGACCCAACAAAGCTTGAAAACATTGTCAAAACTCTGGCCTCCAATCAAGAACCTTTACCATTGTGTCTCTCATCAATTGGGAGCCTCCCAAAAGACAACAATGTTCTATTTCTAGCTCCAACACCTTCATTGTCTCTCCTTCATTTCCATTCGAAGTTGTGCGAGGCAATGAAGAAGGAGGGTGTCGAAATTTGGGATGATTACCGCCCGGGTGCTTGGATTCCTTATTGTCCGGTGGCTGAAGAAGTGCCGAAGGGTCGAATGGCTGAGGCTTTTACTCTTTTGAGAGATTTGAAGCTGCCAGTTACTGGGCATGCAATGGATATTGGATTGGTCGAGTTTTCGCCAGTTCGCGAACACTTCTCGTTTGTGCTTGGTAACACATTAGAAGCATGAGGTTTCAGAGTCATTATGTTGTTGTTGTTGTCATGTTAAATCAGGGTTTATCTTTTGGACAGTTTACATCATTGCTTGTGTAGGAACTATATGTTGAAGAGCATCATTTCCCTTTTGAAAACATGTTTTCAAGTGTCATTTGTGATTTTGTTATGCTAATATTCTCTGTAGATAACTGATTTTTTTTATAAGCTTTATATTGAACATGCATTTGGAATATACACGCTAAGCTATCCTATTATGTTTAGCATTGGGAGGATCAAGTTGCAAGGCTTAACCGGTAGCTTCTCTGAGCGTCTGAGTTAGCTTGTATGTCAAAAAAAAGATAACAGCAATAATAAAATTTGTAAAACAATCGAAGCAAGATCTCTTCAATCTAATTTTGTGTCCTTCAAGTGAGGGGTTCGGTGGTGTATAGCTAATATTCTACTAGTCGGCACAGTGTCCTCATTGGGACTTATGCAGGCATGATACCCATCGTTTTCTTAGATAATAATTTGTAATTCCATTTGGTGTTAAGTAATTGCGTCTTACTCATGATTTTTCCTTTTAGTAACCAAATGAATGGAAACTGATGTGATTTGCGACTTCTCTTATGTTGGTAAGCTTTGTTGGAGGAGTGAAGGGTTAAAATAAACTATAATCTAAACACTCTTCCACTGATCTTCATATATATGTTTCCACTGATTTTCTTTTTTGTTTTATAGAGCAAAATTACAAAGGTAGATTTCTGAGATTTAAGGGTTTTTTTTTTTTTTCCTCACTTCTTCGCTGTTCACTTATAATTTGTCATCCTTAGGTAGTTTTGTTCTGTCCCTTCTAGAGTTAGGGTCTTAAGAGGTGGGGTAGAAAGGTTGTAGGGTATGAGTGGTGAGTTTTGACTTGCTTTTAAGAAGTGATGGATACTGGTTGCTTTAAGAATTGATGGATACTGGTTGCTTGAGGTTCTAGATAGCTCTAATTATGGCTTTGGTGTTAAATTGACGGCAAAAAGTAGGGAAGATGGTAGGAACCTTATGATTAGATAGGATTAGCATATAAGGGCTGTTCTACTACTGGGAATGGTAGCCGGGAATAATTATTTTTACGAGAAGAAGGGAAGATGACGAAGAATCTAGGAATCTCATCTTGAATTCTATAGAAATTAACCCCTAAAGTATGGCTGCACCATCCATCAAATAATCTTCAAGTAATACTCTACCCCCATTGCATAGTTGTTTATGGGCTGCTGAACTTTTCCTGCTACTACTAAAACTCCGATTCAAACATACACCATTCATCAAACACTCTTTAGTGTTGTTGATGGTATGCTCTTACATATCATGAAAAAGATAACCCGTAGGGATCGACAATTGAAGTTATGTACGGAATAAGATTGGGATGGATGTAGTGTTTGAGTGTTTCTAGAGGGCTGCATTGATCATCGTATTTCCATGAGATGAAGTTCTAATACCATTTTATCGGAATTTACTTTATTCGAAAGATTATTAAAATATTTTCTAAATCATCCTCCTATGCCTTTATTTGGTTTTGTTAAGGACTTTGCGATACCAGTGAAATATTCTTCAATTCCTTGATTTAGGAGATGTTTATATAACTAAATCTAATATCTTTCTTAATTCTGGTATTATCAGTAAAACTCTATGACACCCGTTGCTATAACCAAGCACATCAGTTACAGAATTGTGTCTATGGTGTGAAATGAATCTCATATTGCTTTGCAATGGCTGTTTAATGAGACACTGTGATGTTTATGTCTCCAAGCAAGGGTAGTGCCTTCTTTGTTTCTAACTTTGTTGTCTTGGTTTACGTACCGATGAAGATCATCAAGAAGCTGGCATTAGTTGGGTACCCAGTGTTCAATAATCAATATGAACTCTGAATCCACTATTGTTGGGACATATATAGGTCTTGATGGTTACAGGTGGACTAGCTTTATTGTGGAGGTGTTCATAGACATAGACAATAGAGGTGACATGATTTTCACACTAGATTTGTGGATATCGAATGCGACTAAGTATGGTCATTTCTATGCACTTCGCTTAATCCTGTCTCAGCCAATTTGAGTATATGCTTTTTTTTTTTTTTTTTTTTTTTAATTTCGAGATTCAGGTACCTGGGACTGATACAGTCCTGATTCCTTGTTAAATCAAACATTACTGTTTGTTGTCATCATCTTTTTTAATTCATGCCTTTTTTGGCGGAGTTTTCTATTTTTGGTTTTTCTTCTTTTGATCGCAATGCTTGTTATAGGCTATTCTTATATTTATACTGTATGTTTATAGCACAGTGCCTATATCCTGCTTATAGTGAATTTCAATTTTCCTATATATATATATTTTTTTTCCCCTCTTTTTTTAATAATCTCAGGAATGTTTAATAGCTCAAATAGCAATCCGGATTGATACGAATTTAGGAGTTGGTGTTGGTGTGTTGCTTTTGCTGCTTGTTGGAGGATGATGTTGTGATGGGTGATGGAATGGTTTGCAAACTTTTAATCAATTCTTTTTATTATTATTATTATTATTTTTCCAGACATGAGGGGTGGTGCGCTTTGGAGTGTCATCTCTAATTTATTTTAGTTTATTTATTTGTTTATATATTTATTTATTGTCTTTTCCTTCTTTTTTCTATTTTATAATTCAATTTAATAGGAGTTGACAAAAGGTTTTATGATAATCTGTCGGCAACTTTTGGTCCGTCTATAGCACTACTAAAATTTGCTTTTTTTTCATGAAGTATAGTATAATTGTCGACATCACCGTTATCGTTCAAAAATTTTCTTTTTGAGAATTTAACTTTTTAAAAGGGTAATATATATATATATATATAGTTTGTATGGACAGTGAATGAATTTTTAGATTTATTCATGGTCTACAAAGATGTCATGCATTACTTTTTATAAGTTCAATTCAAAAATGTTAAATTGGTAATGTTATAAAAATAATTTTTTAATTTTTCATTTGAGACTTTTATTTTGGAACAATCAAATGCAGATATTTTTTTGTGGGATGGATAGAGTTCAATTTTTAAATTCTTTTTATTGTTTTTATCATTATGGGAGAAGAATTCAGGACCTTTAATTAGTACATTCATCGTGTTCAATACTAACATTTTAAGGAAATGTGTTTGATACTTTATGAATATATTTGTAATTAAAAATATATTTTTTAGAAAATTTTGATACATGGCTGGCATATTCTAGCTTTCTGGACACATACCACAAATACCTGACCAAAAACATTTTTCACCCTCCAACACAATTGTCTCCTTTTCATTTTTTTTTTTTTTCTTTATTTATTTTGTAATGAGAAATTTGACAATGTACATGCAATGCCAATTTTTCATATATGATTCATATAATTATAATGACAAGGTGGGAGAGAGTAATAATAGCATGTATAACATAATATATATATTTGCTTAAATTTGTGCTCCAAATATGCAACTTCAGTACAGAATTATAAATTCATTAAAAAAATTCACTGTCCTATTTAACAGAATTATATATGATAATTTATAGTTAAATTAGTTATTTTCAAGACCTACATGTGTTCTACTTTATTACAGAATTATATATGATAATTTATAGTTAAATTAGTTATTTTCAAGACCTACATGTGTTCTACTTTATTAAAATTTGACGTGTTGGTCAATTCGTATCATCTTTTTTTGCTTGCTGTACCTGTTTGTGCTATTTAGAGCAAGACAGTCACCGAAATCCTTGTTTTGAGTTGTAAACGATGCAGGAAATTAGATTTTCAGCATTGAAACAGTGCATGTATGCTTGGATCACGTTTTCTACAAAAATGTTTTTACTGGGTTGTTAACATTTGATTACTTTATAGAAAAAAATAGGAAGGTCTGTTTGTCTAGGTTTAAGTTGAAGAAACTTGTGAACACCAACGCATGTTATTAGCACTCTTCTTATGACAGGCTTTCAAAGTGAAAGATAGAAGGTTCAAGTCTCTCCGAAAGTATTGTGTGAGTAGACGTTGATTGTGAAACAGGGAGGTAGTCTTGAACAGCCCTCAATTCCCAATTAAGACCCTCCAACCCAACTTCTCCTTCACTCAACAATTCTTCAGTATCCCTCCTGTGTCTTCGTCTTCTCAAGGTGGACCGATGTTAAGCCCCTGCAGTCCCTTCAGCCATTGATGGACTCGAGCCTGGTTCCCATAGGCAAGATAAAGCTCAATATTTGTATAACACGAACGAGTGGTTAAGGAATTTCAAAGGACACGACGGTTTACGCGTGAGTACACATATAATTCCAAAGAGCATGCGAGTACACATATTCGAAGGCAACCATAATTCCAAAGATCATATAATGGAAAGGTCGTGTTTCCACAAAAAAAAAAAAAAAAAAGGCTCAAGATCTGTGACATTCCGTTCACTGTGGCAAACAAATCCTAACACACACAAACTGCTTTCACATCAAAACTAGTAAAATAAAAGGGTAGTTTTGATTTAATAGGATAGAATATAAAATGATCGGTTATTGTTATTCAATGCAATATACTCAAAATTATGTATTAACATCTGAAGCATGATTATTAATTTCAGACTAAACAAGTATAATAAAAAAATATATATGTATAGTATGTGATTCTAACAAAATTACCCCAACTCTCAATCAAGTGATAAACCAGCCTCCTTTCTAAGAATTGCCATCAGAAAGTCATTCCAGGCATCAATAGGGCCTGGCAAGCACCAATGAACACAGTCATTATAACCCTTCATCCATTTGTTACCCCAGTTAGATCCAGGGTGCCCATCAGACCTCATTAGCATGGCCCTTGTCACGTCCATAACATCAAACCTTTTCCCTCGTTTCTTCCCTTTCTCTTTTATCCTCTCGATTTCTTCGACTTGAATCTTCCGAAGTTCCAGCTCGTGACCTACCAGCTTAACCTCCCCTTCGCGTTGAGGACTAGTTCTGTTGCAGCTCCCACCGGTGTCCCATGCCCCGCCCTCAAAATGGGCTGGTGAAAATGTCCTTAGCAAAGTCAGTGTCACTTTGCATTCCTTGCAGTTGTTGATGTAATTAAGTGCAGCTCGAAAGGACATTCTGATGGCAAAGCCAAGGCCGAGATCAGTGACATTTGGTTCGGTGCAGTATACACATCCTGTTATATTACCACCCTCGTTCAGGTAGACCTTTCTGAAGAACCAGTGGGCATCTGAAATGATAGCGTAATCTACATCTGAGAGATTTTGGGACCATTTGCTGTCGACCGTGTCAAGGTCCAAATCAAACACACCAGATTTTGAACCGTTGATTACTCTCTCCTCACCGATCACCAGGAACTTGGACCATAGGATCATGAGGGTGAAGTCATGGTATGAGAAGTGCCATGTTACAAACCGGTCTTCTGAATCCTTGTGAATCTCTCTTGGAATTTCCTCCTGCAAAATTTATAAATATGTCACCCCAAACTCAGTTGCCATTTCCTAGGTTGTTCTTTTTCTATAGAAAGAAATTGGGGCATTTGGAGATTTGAACTGCTGTCATTTTCTCAGCTTATCAAAGCCAAATTTATAACCTCAATGGTTATTTTCGGGAGATGTTACTCAAGCATATGTCAACTAGTTAATGTATAGTTTGATTTGATTTGTTGATCCCAACGTTTGATTAGGTGAAAATAGAAAAGATAAGGTGTCCAAAATCAGGTCCACCTCCTCGAATAGTATTGAATTATGCTTCTATAGATAATGCAGTAATTAGGAACTCCGGTTCAAGTGCAAGGAAAAGGCAAAAATAGTGCCACCATTAGGCCTAAACCTACCTCTTCCAACATTTTCAAGTATTATGCGACCTTACTAACAGAGTAACCCATGATTTTAAGTGGAGCCATTTCAAAAGCAGAGACACTGTAGAGTTGATTATGAAACCAAAGACATTTCACCAAAACTATATAAATGAATAAATCAATGACCTAACATAGTACTTGATGTCAACAGAATAACTAATCACTCAATCATTCCATAATTCTCTAGAATGTTGTTGCCCTTTCCTGTCTAGACTTTTTAAGTAGTTTAATTTATATGTTTCATTGTTTTAAAATTTAATTCAAAATTTTTTTCATAAAATATCATAGAAAATAATACCAGCTTCAATAACAATATTCAAGGAATTGCTTTATCATCTCCATTTTAATTTTATTATTTGCTTGCATTGTATGCAAGTTATAGAATCACATCCATTCCAGTGGGCACAAGCAAAGCATAATAATGTTTGTTCAGAAACAGTCTCTATTCACCATCATGTGTACTAAAATATGTTTCATGTGACTTTACTTTCCAAAAAATTGTTTTTAAATTCAATAATAATTAGCCAAACTTCGGACGAAATGGAGAGCAAAAGACTCTCTCATTCAAATGAATACGCTCAATTGGGTCCCACATCACTCTTAATCCAGTGTATCTAACAAATACAGAGATTTTAGGTCTTCATTTTGTTCAAACTCTTCAGAGTTGATAGCATTACCCTTTTAAAAAGACAATTGTACTTTATAAAACCTGTTTGGACAACGAGAAAATTTAGTGAGAAAACTGACCTTAGACAAGAGACAGAGAAGTGACTCCATATGGTTCCGAGCAACAGAGTCACCAATAAACGCCAATTTCTTCCCTTTCACAATTTTCAAAAAGGTCGTGGGATCGAACTGTGGAAGCTCACAATGTTCTGGTTTCCATCTCCAGTTCACAAAATCTTTATCTCTCCTCCCATTCTTGAAACAATTCTTGGAGTCTGGAATTGTTGCACAGCTTAAATTTGTGTACAGTGACCCATTCAAGTCTGGAACCCAATGACCCTTAGACAAGTCACAATTCTCATCATCTACAAAACACACACACACACACACACACAAAGCAAATTTGATTCAATAAGACAACAAATTTGAGAATTAAGAAAAAGGGTGTTCATATTTGTGAAAAAGAAGAGATGGGTTGTGTTCAAATTTACCATTTTGAGGTTGGACCAATGTTTTCTTCCAATCCAGGCCGTGTTTGGGTGCGGACTTAAAAGGGTTTGGAGAGTATAGGATGAAGAAACCGAGAAGTGTGCTTACACCTAGTGAAAATAACATTAATGGAGCCAGTGATCTCCCCAAGTTGAACCATTTCTCCTTTTTGTAACAGTATAGTTTATCAGAAGAGAGAGAAGGTGACTTCATGTCTATTGTGTGACTGTGCGAGAGAGAATGAGAGAGAGAGAGAGCGGTACAATTTACAAGTAACTTTGGCTTTTCTGTGAGTTGATTGTCCTGTTGCTCAGGAAAAAAATGAAGCCTGTGGTTTATGAGAAGAGGGGACTAGAAAGTCCTTGACTAGGAAAATGGTTTGGACAAAGTGCAATAAATATACACCGTCTGATTTAAGACACGTGGTGGGTGATGAGTTCTGAGTTCTGAGTTCTGTAGCGGCCCTTTACTGATTAGCCTTATATCTCGGCGTAATCCCGCTTTGTATAGAAAGTGGACTTTATTTGGGCCACACGGTTCGCCTTGCTGCTTTAATTTCCCACTAACTCCACCATCATGGCCCAATTTGTTTACTAGGTTCATGGAATATCCAAAAAGGAGCCTTCATTTTGTTTTAAATATATATGTATATATGAGTAACATATATATGACATATATAGAGAGAGATTGCCATTGATACAATGATAATTAATTCGAAGCTTGATTTGTTAGATATGATTTATGATAGGTATATTATTTATGAATCATGAACATTCATTCAAATAACTTTATACATCTAGCCATCTATAGAAATCTATATTTGACCCTTCTAGCTCCTCATCCTATGCCTAATCTTTTGCCGACCATCATTTTTTAAGGAAAATTGTATAATATATAATTATAGAACTCTCAATAAAATTTGATTCATATAAAAATTGAATGTGATTATTTTAAAATTCCAATTCAAACACAATTATTTTCTATAACGTAACTATCCTAAAATTCTTTCAACTCAAACTTAATTATTTCCAAAATTTTATTTTTCATTTTAAAAAACTTAGTATATAGTAGGAATGTATTGAAATGCTTCTATAAAAATTCTATAAGAAATTAATTTTTACAAAATGTAGAACAAAATTTTCATTTGAAGTTTTGAATATCAACAAAAATCCATAATTAAAAAACCTATTCTTATTTTATTACTTTGTTTGTGTTTTCTTTAGTAGTTATTGTTTTGTTAAAATTTCAATTGTTATTTTTTTTAGAATTATTTTTATTTTTTTCCTTTCACTAAGTAAAGAGACTTATTTTGTTAATTTATTTTTGGAGAGTCTTTGTTTTGAAAGATATCTTATATTTTAATTTTAAATGGCCTAATTTTATTCTCGGTGAAGTATCAATTTTGTATTTGTCTGGCCAAATAGCGTAACTCTCTCTTTTTAATAATAGTTATGATTGCTTTACATAATTATTTTTGAAAAATTATAAAAATTTTGATCAGTTTTGACCAACTGATGTAATAATTGTTGAAATAATAAAAAACAATCTTATTGAATATAGTGAAAAAAGAACCATATTTATTAAATCGCCGAAAAAATCAACTCGAACATGGTATTATTCTTCTTCTTATGGTTGCAATTTAGTTATATTATTCTTTTAAATGATTTTTTAAAAAAAAAATGAATCAGACGAGTTGAGTTTGTATTTGTCAAATAACCAAGCATAACATTACATGTGAGTGAAAGATCATGGATTAATGTTGAATAATATGAAATATTGGATTCTCATACAATATTTTATGGAAAGATGAGGCAATGTTTTCATATTCCCATAAAATCAAAAATAAAAATTAGGATCCTTATGGTATAAATTACCCTTTTATTAACTTTATTTTATTCCCTAAAACGTACAGTTCGTACTGTCATTGATCATTGGCATTTAATTTGACATCACTGTCTTGATTTCTTCTAATTTTACACAGCTCATTGCACATGGAAGTGTGTGACTTATGAACGATTTGAAATTGTTCGTTAGTCAAATCGAACATGATGATCAGACATTTAATCTTGACCATCATTTGTAGTTGACCTTGCCGTTTAAAATGGGTGATGAGTCTGATGACAATTGCCAAAGTTTATCAAATGGGGCCACCTTTAAAGAGTTTTTTCAATAATTGTTGAGAATGTATAAAAGAAAAAGATTATTACTCCTCCGCTCTTTCAAAACATTTTTATTTTTAAAAATTATTTTCAGATACGATTGATAATTATTAAAAATATTACGTAACCAACTGCATAAATTTAATATGTTTTAAGAGACCTGATTTTCTATATATATATATATATATATATATATCTATATATATATATTTATATATATTGTCATTAAATAAGAAAGTCGCACACACACTATACTCATTTAAAAGGTCAAATAAATATTATTGGATCACAAGAGCTTTGATATTATTGTACCATTTTAACATGCAAATTAATTTAATTTTTTTTTTTTTTTTTTTGTTGATGTGTGAAATAATGGCACCAATGATGCATTTGTACATGGACAAAGGTACATCATAAGGTGATGGTGGTTCTCTAACATGATTTATAATAGAGAGATGCCTTGAGGACCGTCCGTTTGAATGTAGTACAAAAGTTAGGTGGGATCCCTTATCAAGATGGTAAAGTTTTGGAAAGAAGCCTCTTTTCCTATTTATGTCCTGATGATGATCCGACAAAGGTAATTGTAGCTTGCTTTTCATCGTCCTTCCTTGGACCCGATCGTGACAAACAGATGTTCAGTGCCAATGTGACACCTTCTTTTAATTGCCCATTCAAAACCTTATATTTTATTTTTACATAAAATATTACATTAAAACACAACTTATTACATTATAACACATGTAACGTTGTCACATCGAGACGTAAGATATATAATATCATAATAAGCAACAACACAGTCACATAGAATTTACAGTTGAGTTTCAAGGTCTTGCTTTTGATTCGTACTTGTAATTCAAACAATGTATGTTGTGGGATTAATACGAGAATTCTAAAAAAAAATAATTGGATTCACATATAGTAAAATTTAAAGAAGCTTTTCCTTTTTTCTTGTTTTGAACCTTATAAATCAATCACCAACCAACTTCCCACTTGACAACATTTTACTTTTCGTGGTCTTTCCAAGTTGGGCCGACCCACTTATGGAAATGGCTGCATTGGGCTTAGTTGAACCAATCCAAGCTAGTTGACCTTTATTCATTTGGTTTAGAATTTTGAAACCAAAGCCCAATTACAAGCCTGAAATATTCAGTTCATACCTATCCCTTATGACCTCCATGTGCCAGGCCTAGTTCTCCATTCATTTTGGTTACAATGATACAATCTGGTCTTTGTTTTTTTGACTAGAATAAGTATCCACATTATTATTATTATTATTATTATTTTAAATTTTTTTTTTTTAATTGTTGACAAGAAACACATATACACCCATGCAGTTGAACCCTAGACCTTCTAGGTCGGAAAGGTGAAAAAGTACTACTAGATATGGTGGTGTCCACATATTGGGTGTCTAATTTCTTCTACCACTTTGCAGACACGGATAATGATCCTCTCCAACGACAGAAAGGTCCAATACAGAATTTAGTAGTTAAGATTAAATTGATAAATGAGACCCATTAGTGATGATGTAATCTCAATAACTAAATTCTGTGCTGCACCTCTCCAGCATCAGAGAGAATCCTTATCCTTGCAAGCATCATGTCACATGTCAATTTTAATACAGATTTTCTTAAAAATAATTATTATTTCACAACTCAACTCAACTCTACTCAATAGATCTTCCCAGATTCTACCCTTTTCATATTATCACATCGAGCATGTGATTTATAATCTCGACAGTACAATTTTGTTATTTCATAGCATGCTAGAACTACAAAGCGACAAATAGAAGTTGGATTTTGTTAGAGAGAGAGATTCATGAAGATTTTAGGCTCCTCATTCTTGAATGGGGCTCAAAAATAATTAGAGTGATGATTCATAAAAACAAAAAATAAATCTTGAAAGCTGTAAACTAATTTGGAATTATACATACAAGTCTTGCTCATGCTAGTTTTGAAAAGTGAGAGATCCTGTTCGTAAATCCAATCAAGTTCCCTCAGGTGATGTGGACATGGACATGTCACCAACTGGACATGGGACTCAATGCACATGTACATGCACATGCCTGCCAAACACTGTCACATACTTGTGCCTTGTGTTTGTATTTGCATCAACTTATTTTCATACCTCATCTGTGAAATTTAATCTTTATGGATTCTTTTGAATGTTTTGTATTTAATTTACTAAAGCTTGTGAAATTTAATCTTTATGGTCCACCAATTGAAAGTTGACTTTGTTTTTTTGTTTTTTGGTTAAGGCAGCATCAGATTATAGTTGCAATAAATCATGTAGTATGATAATGCACAGGCAGTTCATTTTTTTTTTTTTTTTTTTTTTTTTTTTTCAGGCAAAATGGGTTGGTCATGGGATTTTTTATTTTATTTTTAAATATACTCTATGTATTGTATTATTATTTTTTAATATAAACCTCCATATCTTTGTAATATTGACCCTCCAACCGCAGGGTCATCAGTTTAGCATCCGTAGGTTTCATATTGTTAATTAATGCAAATGGGGCCTATGATTTGGATTAGATATTGTTGGGTAAGTAGATCTGCTCCTTTTTGGAGAGCTCCTTGCACCAAATCGCTTCGTTTTGGTGCATATATATAAAGCTCAACGAGAGTTTAAGACTTTTCGCATCTTGCTTTGAACTAGTGCTGAGTTTTAAGATGACGTTATTTGGGTGTATAAAATCCTCCAAACATGGAAGAAATCGTACCAGTGAATCTTGTATGGCCTAGGTTAATTAGTGCCATTTGTATTGAATGGCCTATCTATTGAAGTGGTAGCTTCAACTTGATATTGACAACACTAGCTCGCATCAAATTGAAATTCACTTGGATCCATGTCTAGCATATACCAATTTGCATATATATATATATATATATATATATCTGTAATTTTGTTGTTGAAATCAAACTAGCATTAGAAGACTATGCTCAAAATGACAAAAATGTTAGGTTATACAGTATTTAAATAAGTAGCACATTGCATTTAATTACATTATATAAATCACTAAACAAGATCGGATTCACCAAAATGAAAAACTTATTTTCTCCATCTACTATATAGTTATATATGTATATATATGTATACAATTTCAATTAGATATTATATAAAAATGACACAGGTTTAGCCAGAGCTGCTGATCACATGGGACGTTTTTGTAGTTGGACAGTAGTAGTCTCACATGTGGCGCCCAAACAGCTAATTGAGACCAGAGAACGTTGTTGAGACCTCATCATATGTATCTAATGCATGGTCGCTAGGGTACATTTCCATCCAACCCCATAATCTGATAGCCCCATTTGTTTTCTAGCTTTCATTTTACTGGGAAAATGACCACTGTTTTGTCCATCTATGTATTTCATTGCAAGCCTTTTGTTTCTTTCTGTCGGTGAATTAGTACTTTCCATTTCTCTCTTTAATATGGACAAATTCAGTACTATTTTATATGTGAAAATATACTTATCATAAATTTCTTTTCACAGTCTTAAGGCACATAGCAGCGTCGTCAGATATTCGGAAGGCAAGTTCTTGAGATATCGCTATCAAGTCGCATAGTGTGTGTATTATGAGACTGATATACGTACTTTAAAAAAAAATTCATTTTCATGATACGCATCTTAAAACACATGACATGTTTTCCTTTTATTATTTTAACTCCTAAAAATTTAGTTTCAATTATACTGTCAAATTCCTTGCCATATCATTCATTATATATAATATATCATGAAAATCATCATTCATGATACACATTCATAAATTTTTCCAAGATGTGTATCACTACTCTTTATATATATTTAAAAAGAACATTAACTTTGTGCTTGTAAATTTGATTTCGGTTCGAATTATTCACTTGAGGCCACTTTTTTTAAAAAAATTCAACTAATTGTCAAGCGCATATAAGACAAAAGATTGCATATGCCTTGAAGTAAATTATGGGATGTCTTAAGAGGCCCAAGTGGACACAAAAAAATAAAAATAAAAATAAAAATAAAAATAAAAAATAGAGTAAATTCGATTTTGGTGACTTATATATTGGATGTAAAACATTTTTTTTGAAAAATCTTTATAGCACTTTCAGTTATGTAGTTGACCATAAAAATCTTTTACAAAATTTTGAAGACAAAATAAACTGCAAAACTGAAATTCGAAGATCTTTATACTTTTTTTCTTTTTTATATTTCGAATTTAGACTCGAAACTCATATGACAAACAATAATCATGTGTATACATAGACAACATATAAACAAGTAAAGTGTGCATACATGCACATATACAGATGAATAATATAAATTTATATGCATATATATGTACATAACAAACTATACGTGTATAGATTGATATACATAGTGCTATATATACACTCTCACTTGTGCCATTACTACCAAACTAAATGTAGGGACAAAATAAAATGAAGTCATGCACGTTCTAACTAGCAAACAGTATGTAGGTGCCAGTTGGATACAAAATTAATATCTTTGTTCACATTTGTTCAAACTTGTATAAGTTTCTGTCATGCATTTTTTAAAGATGAATCAATTATTGGAAAGCTTAATTCAGTCTCATACGTTACAATACACACATAATGAATGTTTTTAAATAAACATTTTCAGCGAATCAAAGGGATTATAATATAACTAGAAGAACTTAATTATGTGATTTGCAATGCAATATAATATGATGAAAAGCCAAATGCAGAAGGGATGTACATATATTGTTATGCGAGGATAAAGGTTGTGCACATCTCATTTTTTTAAGACTTCGTAATGACAGGAGACTTGTCTATATATAAGTAAAAGCTACGTACATTTAATTCTTCTTAGACTTTGCAATGACGGAAGGCTTGCTCATATATAAGTTAAAGACTACATACATCTAATTCTCTTTATACGATTCCTCCCTTGAATTTATATATATATATATATATATATATATATATATATATATGAACCAAATCTGATGCATTGAAGTCAATCTGAACCAATTCTGAGAATCAAGTTCTTTAATTTTAAGGGCTAACTGAAGACTATAAAATCAAATGAAAATATTAGAAAAGTTTAATAAAGAACAAGCGATATGATTGGTTCACAATCAAAATTTGGGGCGTAACACAACAAGAGCTAGCTTTCTAGTTTATATAATTGGATCATATACAACTCAATTTTATTCAGATTTGATTATTAATTAATCAATGGGACAAACCATTTATTTGAGGAAAAATGGATTGACACTTCGACAGATCTAATCTGATTTTTCCACATGCAGATCACAGAAGAGTAATTTAGCATGCATGTACTCATGTGAGCAGGGCGTTCATACTTGGAAGGATGCAATTATGGTGTCAACAAATGAATGATCAAAAAGAACCTCAACGTGGCTTGTATGCTCCATCATATCTGATATATATATATATATATATATATATATATATATATATATATATATATATGTGAGTGGACCACCCAATTAGAATGGTTTTGGGTTCGGGTATTATTGGGTGCTTTGGGTCATGGAATAATGATTTTATCTTACATTTTTAATTAAAAATACTCATAGTATGGTTGAGGTAAGTTCTATTAATTTTGAGTTCTCTATAATTATGTGTCAATTTTATTTATTTATTATTATAGTAAAATTCGTACAACTTTGGGCGTAGTCACAATCTTTATTAATCTCGTAATATACAAAAACAGAGTGTGTATTTTTTCTTATTCTGTCAAATTAAAAAAAATAAAGGTTCCAACAAAATGCGTAATTGGTAAAATTGATTATTAAAATTTTAATTGATTGTTTTTGTCTTAAGTCAAAACCCAAAAATGTAAAAAATAAATAAATTAAAAACATCATGGTAAGTGTGTGAGAAAGAAAGTGATCTGATTTGGGCACACTGTTTTTGATAAAAAGCAACCCTCTGTCGTCACAAGGAATGGAATAGTCCAGGTCAGCAGACAACAAGTGTTCTCTGTGGGGGCAATATCTGTAATTTGGCTGGAATTGGCTGTCACTTCTTGATTCTCATCTTGTCATCAAATGATACTAAATCAAAACAATAAGGAATAATTTCCCTGACACTCCTAATAGTTTGATCAAATATTAATTTAAAATATTTTTAAAAAATAACTATCACTTAGATTTAATTTTACTTTTTCGTTATAATTTTTGTTAAAAATATATAAAAGACAATTTTACCCTTAATTTTTTTAATCTCATTTATTTCTAAATTTCATATTATGTAAAATATACCCTTTATCATTACACGTACCAACTACCACACTCGACATCAGAAACTATCTCTCTCCACCAAGCCATTGGTTCATGGGAGAGCATCATTGCCAGTATATATTTGCTATCGAATGATTTCGGGCCTTATTAATTTGCAATTGAAACTAATTGAATTCATATGCTAATTTTGATTTTGATTTGTTATAGTTGTGTATGTGTGTATATATATTTATATATAATATTTTATATTAGAGAAATGAAAAAGGAGAGAGGGTGGGAAGGAGCCACAGTGGCGGTGGTTAGCGGGCAGTGATTTGTGAACTGAAGTATTGCGTCAAAGGGACGACACAGGTTGATCCCACAGCTTCGTTGACGCGGAAATGTTGAAAATGATCTGTTTAACTCGGAGCGAACCCACTTCGAATCTCAGTTCCGAGCTCTCACCGGCACCGATGCAGACATCCTCGCAGTACACAGCGTGTTGTATGTGTATATATGCACGCATATATATATATATGTCTGTTTGTGTTGGTTATGGGTTTAGAGATGGAAGCGTCGGTTTAGGGTGAAGATGAAAAAAATAAAAAATAAAAAATAAAAATCAAATATAAATATAAAATGACAGAAATATACTTCAATTTATATGCAAAAAGATAAAAAGTAAGGCCTTTTTTTGTCCAAAAAATACGAGGACAAGCATATATATATATATATATCTATCTGAAATAATGGAATATATGAATGGGTGATTGATCATGGAACCAGACACTTGTAAATTTTTATTTTTATTTTTCTCTTTCTCTTTTTAAATTTCATTAATTTCCTTAAAAAAATAAATTTTTCTTACTTAAAATTTCACTAATTTCTTTAAAAATATATATTAATGGGTGATTTTTCTTATTTTATTTTTCTATTTTAGTTTTTAAAATTTTTCTCTTTTTAAATTTCATTAATTTCCTTATATGAATGGGTGATTTTTCTTATTTTATTTTTCTATTTTAGTTTTTAAAATTTTTCTTATTTTTCTCTTTCTCTTCTTAAATTTCATTAATTTCCTTAAAAAAAATATAGAACCGAACACTTGTATGGCGTATAATAGTCCTCAATATCAAACTGTATGATGTTGATCACTTACTTTATTTGTTCTTGTATATGGAAAAGGAAGGGTAAACATGTCATTTGAATAGTCAAACTAAAATCAAATGAGGGTAAATATGTCATTTCAATCATTAAAGAAATAATTAAATGGGTCAAACCAAAGTCAAGGGGTAAGAATGTCTTTTTACATAAAAAAAAGTGGTCTGACACACCTGTCAACTAACTTTTGAGGTGTGAGTGAAAAACGGAGCGAACGTTTGTGATGTGAATGATAGTTATTTTCGAAAGATATTTTAGATTGATATTTGGCCAAACTACTGGGGGTGCGTCAGTGAAATTATCCCAAACAATAATTGTGGAGCTTAGTATATGTATCAATCTTTATTGGTTAATAATTTATAGACTAAATTCTATCAACTTTGACTCATTGATTTCCACCGACTAATTTTCCCTAGATTAATGAGTCTAAAAAACATCTGATCCTCTTATTATGACACAAAATTGAATATCTTTTGGAGTAATAAACTTTGGAACCTTTTTGTAATTTTATAATAGAACTGAACCTTCCATTTGCCTCCTCCATAAATCACCTTCTCTGTTAGTTGCTCAAAAAAAGCATATTCTTTCTCTCTCTCTCTCTCACACACACACACACACACATTGATACAGGGGCATCCTGCCTTGACTTTAAATATCTCTCCTTGCACAACTTTCATCTGAATATCTGTTCACATTCGTTCAGTTTTAAGATCCAAAATTTAAATGAGAAAAGTATAGTATATATCTCTGTCATGGGTTTTCTTATTTTTTTCTCATATACGATGCTGTGTAAATCTTGTAATTGAATTCTAAGTCCAACCCATTGTTATTTTCCCAAAATTCTGATCTGGGTTGCCATTGATTTCTTGGTTGATTGGCTTCCTGGAAAATAAAAATGGCCCCAAATTCGGTTGTAGTCACAATTGAGGAGTCTTTATTAGAACCCAATGGTTTGAATTCACCAGTGTTTCCTGATAAACAGAAGGCTGCAAGTCCCAAGCAATTCACATGGGTTCTTCTTCTGAAAGCATACAGAGTTCTCACATTCATTCCTTGGCTTGCAATGGGGTTGTTTGGTGTGTTTGCTTCAGTTAAGAAACGCATTGCATTGTCCAACACAAGTGAAGAAGAGCCCCAAAACAAAGGGAAGTTGTATAGATTTCTAAGGGCATGTTTGGCTATATCCATTGTGGCTTTGGTTGTTGAAGTGGTTGCCCATTTCAAGAAGTGGAATTTAGATCTGATTCATCCTTGGGAGGTTCAGGGTCTTATGCAATGGTCTTACATGGCTTGGTTGTCTTTTAGAGTTGATTATGTTGCTCCCTTGCTTATGATGCTTTCTAAGTTCTGCATTGTGCTTTTCATGATTCAATCGCTCGATCGGCTCGTGCTATGTGTTGGGTGTTTTTGGATCAAGTACAAGAAGTTGAAGCCAGTGGTTGAAGGTGAAGCATATGACATTGAAGATTGTTCAACTTTCCCAATGGTTCTTGTTCAGATTCCAATGTGCAATGAAAGAGAGGTAATTCCTCTTATGCTCATTTTTCTTATCTGGTTTTGGTCGGACCACGATATATCTTGTATTAGTATGTAATTGCTTTACTGTCTTTCATTGGATCTCGATGTTCGTGCATTTCCTGTGGCCCAAACGATGAAGTTAAAGTCACTTAAAAAGTAGTGCAAAATAAGCTCTTTCAAACTTTAGTAATTAGTGATGTTTCTTTTAAGTTAGGAGATGATGAGGAAAACAAAAGTTTGAAACAACACTATTTCATGTTTTCTAGTGTTCATTGTGCAAAAAGAAAAAAGAAACCATATTTTTTGAGTCAAATTGTGCAGGGCCTATTTTGCTGTTGCTTTAGGGTAGAGTGATCTTATTTTAATAATTCTACATGGATGTCTTTATTTTTTTATTGGGCAAACTATACAATTTTTCATTGGTTTTTCTTGAATACTAGACATACTTATTTCACCATCATCTAGTTGATTCTTTTCACTCATGATTTCTTAGTTGTATGCCTGTGTTTGATAGAATTTTGCTGTGGCTTCAGGGTATATTTACTTTATTTTCAGAATAGAATTATAGATGTCCTTATTTGGTGATTGTGAAACTACACAATTTTTCATTTTTTTGGTTAAATGCTAGGCATACTTGTTTTACAATCGTCGAGTTGATCTTTTTTACTCAGGATTAATTAGGTGTGTGCTTGTGTTTGTAATCTGTGTGTCTGTAATTGATCTGATGTGAAACAATTTGATGGAATTAAGGTATATGCACAATCAATCTCTGCTGCTTGCCTGTTGGATTGGCCAAAGGACCGCCTTCTAATTCAAGTCCTAGATGATTCAGATGATGAAAATGTACAGCTTCTAATAAGAAATGAAGTCTTCTCATGGAGACAGAAAGGTGTGAACATAATCTACAGACATCGATTCATCAGAACCGGATACAAAGCTGGCAATCTTAAGTCAGCCATGGCCTGTGAATATGTCAAAGACTATGAGTTTGTTGCAATATTTGATGCAGACTTCCAACCAAGTCCTGATTTTCTTAAACATACAATGCCTCACTTTAAGGTAACGAACTCTACGCTTATGAAGAACATTACACACTTGATAATGTCTATGCCAACCTTAAGTTTCTTATGAATTGTCTCAGGGAAATCCGGAGTTAGGCCTGGTTCAGGCTCGCTGGTCCTATACAAACAAGGACGAAAATTTGCTTACAAGGCTTCAAAACATCAATCTGTGCTTCCATTTTGAGGTGGAGCAGCAAGTCAATGGCATGTTTCTCAGCTTCTTCGGGTTTAATGGAACTGCTGGTGTCTGGAGGATTAAGACTTTAGAGGAGTCCGGAGGCTGGCTTGATAGAACAACGGTAGAGGATATGGACATTGCAGTTCGAGCCCATTTGAAAGGGTGGAAATTCATCTACCTCAATGATGTCCGAGTGCTTTGTGAATTACCGGAGACATATGGAGCGTACAAGAAACAACAGCACCGCTGGCATTCAGGTCCAATGCAGCTCTTCAGATTATGCCTTCCTGCCATTATAACTTCCAAGGTTTCTGCAATGTCCCTCTCTTTTACATTAATCTTCTGAAGCTAGAAAATTTAGTACAATTGTCTAATTTTTGATTTATTTTTGTGCAGATATCGATATGGAAGAAGGCTAACCTGATATTTCTTTTCTTTCTCCTACGAAAACTGATACTACCCTTTTACTCATTTACATTATTTTGTATCATACTTCCATTAACCATGTTCATACCCGAGGCTGAATTGCCCATTTGGGTGATCTGTTATGTCCCCGTGTTCATGTCCTTTTTAAACATTCTCCCAACGCCAAAATCCTTCCCATTCTTGATGCCATACCTACTGTTTGAGAACACAATGTCGGTGACAAAGTTCAATGCCATGATATCAGGCCTATTTCAGCTCGGAAGTGCTTACGAATGGGTAGTGACAAAGAAGACCGGCAGGGCATCTGAATCTGATTTATTAGCCCTTGCTGAGAGGGAATCAAAAAGTGCAAATCAAGAGAAAATCCAGAGGAGGCTTTCTGAATCCGGTCTAGAAATGTTCGGTAAACTAAAACAAGAAGAGGTTGTTGTTCCACTTGTAAAGAAGAGAAACAGGCTCTATAGAAAGGAACTTGCACTTGCTTTTCTTCTACTCACTGCATCAGCAAGAAGCTTGTTGTCAGCACATGGAGTTCATTTCTATTTCTTGTTGTTCCAGGGATTGTCTTTCCTTGTGGTTGGCTTGGACTTGATTGGCGAGCAGATTAGCTGAGACAAGACTTAAAATTATCCCAATTCAAGCTCTATGTTTAAGCAAATTATACTGCAATCAAAGTACAGCAGTATAAACTTGAGTTGGTACAGGAGTTCATCATAGATTAGGGACATTTGGTGTTGAATTAGCCCGGTGAGAGATAACATATTAGAATTACTATTATTTTTTGTTGTACAATTACATGTATTACTTATTACCAGTGTTTCAAATAATGTACCCAATATAACAGAAGCAATTAAAAAATCTTTGTTTGAGTGTACCCTTTTAGGTTTGGTGTGGTTACAACTTGCTAACTCAAATCTTTTTAATTATATTTTCTTATATATCTTCTATATAGAGAAAAAATGATATCCAAGTTTGGGCAGAAACTAGAAAATCTTTATTCAAATGGAAATTACATCATTGATATCCCACTTGACTTTTTCAAAGGACTTCCAATTTCAGATCACCCATACTAATAGTCAAAGAGTTTGTGTTTGTCAATCGTAACTTTTACTTCTTTTCTCTCTTTTTGGATTCTATCACAAATTAATGCGAAAATTAGGGGGACTAATGAGACATGACCGCCACTGCCCCTACTTGCCAGATATAAAACAAAAAAAAAAAAAAAAAAAAAAAAAATTAAATATAAAAAAAAAAAATTGGTGTATGACTAGAAACTCTCCCAATATTCACAACAGGACACAGAAACGTCACACTTCCATTTTATACCCACAAACTCGTGCTTTTAACAGCTATATATATATATATATATATATTTGAAATACATTATGTATGACCAAATGTAACGTAGGATGCTACTTTTGGTGGCTGGCGAGGTACATCAACCCATTAGTCCATTTAAAGTGGTCAGCCCAATCACCAGCCCATTAGTCATTTAAGGTGACCAGTTCAATCAATTAGTAGCTGCTTATTGGACTGCCCATTTTTATTGTTTATTATTTCATATATCCACGCGTTGTAACATATAAAATAAAATTAATGGGGGTTCACTATCTGCTATGCAATAGTCGCCATTTTGTAAACGTAGCCACATGCTTACGTCACATAAAGTGGGAATAAGAACAGAACCAGGTTATAAATTTAGAGGGGTCACAGTGAACAAAAAAAAATTGAAAGAATTTTAAAAAATAAAAGGAAAAACACAAATAAGAAGAAAAAGGGAAAGAAAAATGATATAACTTTGAAAGAAACAAATTAGAGTATGAATGAATAAAGAAAATTTGGCTTTTTTAAAAGAAAATTAAAAAATTTTAAAGAGTAAATGAAGAGAAAAAGGGAAAATTTAAAAGAATTTTAGAAATTTAGGGAAGGCATAATATACAAATGTCTATATATATGTATAAAAAATTATATAAAATTATATAGGGCAGGCCAGGCCAAGCGCATGTCTCCTTAGACATATACTAGTTGGAGCGAGAGTGAATTCGAGAGTAGAAGTATTAGAGTAATAAAATTATTTTATAAATAGTGAAGATTTGAGCGCACGTAGAGCGTGAGAGTAACTTAACACATGGCGTATGGTGATTTACCAGAATGAATAGTAATTTCTCTGCTCGCCGTCCAACAGGGGCTCACCGTAAGGCATCCAGATGATCTAATAATGCCAAAGCATAAGAAAGATAAAGATTGTAAAAGGGAAAAAGAAATTTGAATTACCATTTATTTATTAAATGAGTGTGATTTTTAAAATCTACTTAAATGATTTTGATTTAGAAAGTCACTCCTTGTCTTGTCAAATGCAACTTACTCCACTCAAAAAGTATAAAAACAAATTCAAAAGAGATAAAAGTTGTCTACACTCTACAGTGGACTAGCCCTAGGCTTCAGAGATTTTGGGCCATTAACTACAGTATTTTAGTATGCTTTTTTTGGGGGTAAATCTATTGTCCATAGACTCCATCTTTCAAATCCCGCCAAAAAGGTGTGAACTTTTTCTATCGCTCTGATCATCATTTTACTTTCCATTCGCACTTTGAAGTAGAGACCTAAGACTCCATCAGAAAGGTAAAGTTCTTTCATCCCTTAGAACAACTGTTTCCCGATCATTCTTTGCATTCATGTGGTTCTTGGAGAAAAAAAAGAAAAAAAGAAAAGTAAATGATTGACTAATCTGAATTTTAATTTTCTTTTCAAATAATGAGATTTCCTATTGTTTCACTCTTTCTAAGAACCATAAACAGATTAGTTTGGTTTGCTGATTAGGGTTTTAGTTATTTATTTGCGAGATGGTGTTACACATATAAAATTATTTACATTCCATGTCTAATGAGAATCATTACATAAAAGAAAGCTTACACAATATGTTGATGATACAGTGATTTAATCTAATTTTTATTCTGAAGGTGGTTCGGTGAAGTGAGTTCCTGAACCAGCAATGGAGAATGAAAAGGATGCCTTTTACGTTGTCCGTAAGGGAGATGTTGTTGGCGTGTACACAAGTTTAAAAGACTGCCAAGCTGAACTTGGATCTTCTGTAATCTTTCATCACCCTCTGAATTGTTATTTGTTTATTACCTGTTAATTTCGCAATGTGATATGTATAGCAATAGAACACTCGAGTAGAGAAGACTGATTTTTCTAAGCTCATACCTATTCACAATAGTACAAGAAGACATCTCACAGCGCATGTTGTTTGTTGACGAATTAGTTCTTTTGGGTGCTTCTAAAGAAGCCTCAGAAACAAAATTTGAAGTAGGGAGAGAGACATCAGAGGCAAATGACTTAGGAATTAATAAGATTAAAGCAGATTACATGGAATGTAATTTTGTAAAGTTTGGAAAAATGACAATATCACGCTAACAGTACAACAACAAAGGATTCCTTAGAAGAATCATTTTCTATATCTAGAATCAATAATACAAAAGGATGCAAAAAAAGATGATTATGTAATTAGTAGGATTTGAACAACTTCGTATATGGATCAGAGGTAGTAGTGTTGGGCGTGGGAAAAGAAACAAGGACGACATATTCATGTACTTGAAATGAGAATCTTAAAATGAATGACAGGAATGACAAAAAGTGATAGGGTGAACAATTAGTGTGTGAGGGAGAGAGTAGGAGGACGCTTATTAGTGATAAAATAGAGAAAACAGGTTTTAGACGGGATTTTTTCAGTACTGTTTCATGTTTTATTTTCTTTTCTTTTTTTCCTTTCAATATTGATGTATATTTATTTGTTTTATGCCACCTTATTCGTATTAGCATGGGGCCCACCGACCCAGATGAAGTAATTCTGATACTGAACATATTGAAAGTGGCTTTTTTTAATCGTTGACGAACTTAATTTGTATATTAGGCATGATTTGGAACCAGAGGAAGCAGTATTTCAGTCGGAGAAGCTTTTTATTTGATTAAATGCACATGGCCATACATTTTAAGTTGAAATATATCTGGTGTTTTAAGATTGGATTATTTTCATCATTTCATGATCATGTAAACCTGGGTCAAGTTGGTTAGATGGTTCTCAGTTTGCAATGGCCTGAGTTCTACCCCTAAATTGGGCCATTATTATGTCATTGCAATATTGATGTATTTTCTCTTTGCAGTAACGAGGTCTTCCTTGATTCATTCAAAATGTCGGAGTTTTGCTTCTTTTCTTGAACTAAACTATTATTGTGATCTATGTAAATAAAGCTATTGTCATCCCCATACTATTCATTTGTTTTTTTACTGAACACATAGTTCTTCCTTTTCTTTATTTATAGGCAGGTAATCCTTCTGTAAGTGTGTTCAAAGGGTATTGCTTGCCAAAGGAAGCTGAGGAGTACCTTGTCTCACATGGGCTGAAGGGTGCAACTTATTCTATAAGCGCGACTGATGTGCAAAACTGTTTTTCTCGGCAACTTGTTGCTTGCCCGTTTCAGGTAATGTACTTGATCCTTTAACTTACAAAATTAGAGTTAGGTACTTAAGCATCTATTTGATTAATTAATTAAATCATATGGGTGTGTTCCCTTTTCATCTCACTCAAATCTGAGATAGTTTCTATGTGCCATTGCCTCCTTTCCTCAGGCATCTGTGCTGGCTTTTTATAGAGTACTGATATCTTTTTGGTTTTGCAAGGTTCTTTGCTTGAATTATTAGACTATATTGGGTATGGCATATCAATTGCTTTGTGCATGTGCAGTGTTTCCTTTGTTATTCTTCTTTGCTGTTTTTGGGAAATAAGAAACCAAGAATATTCAAGGGTGCCAGCCAAAGAGGCATAATGAGGACCATTTTACATCAATTCATATGCCAGTCATGATATTGGATATTAACTCTCTCACTTTGAGTGTGTAAAATTATTAAGCTGATCCACTTGTCCTGTTCTGCTACAGCTTAGCTAATTGAGGTGTTAACTCTATCAAGTATTATAAAGCTTCAAATATTATAATCATCATGTAATTAGGAAAATTGTTTTCGGCAACCATTTTGATTTTGTTGAAATATGCTGTTTTGTATTTGGTTTTTTTCGAGACTGTTGAGGATCCAGTGTTTCTTAGGTTCTTTCTGACACATTTACTTATTATCTTGATCATCTTCTCCCACTGGTTTGTCTAAATTCTTTGTTTTGGGCAGGATGTCGTTGGTTCAACTTCATCTGTAGCAAATACTCAGGGCAAGTGTGTCAAATTAGACAACCACGTTGAAGTTCCAGCAATTTCATCTAGTTGTGTAAGTCTGTCTTTGAGATATTAACGATTCTTCTATTGCTGCTGATAGCCCTCCTATTACTATTATTACACATCTTTGTATTTTATGTTCTAAATCTTTTGCCAGTTTGTCTCCTTTTAAGGCCATTCCATTAAGTTTTACCATGTATAGGTGCTCGTCTACACGGTTTACAAGATAAAATTAGTAACGTGTCAGCTCTTTCATCAATGTATATACATAGCAAAAAATGCATGCAGATATTTTAGGCCCAGTTATTTGATTTATTTGTCAGACCATAAATATATATTGGGAAATTAGAGTTGAAACTATTTCAAAATTTGTTTCTTTTGAACTACCTTTTATAGTTAGGGTTTGATTTGCAGACATACCTGTCTTGTTGTAGCAGCTCTGGGTGCTTCATATGAGTTAAAAGCCAAATTAAAAGTCAATTGTAAAGAAGTGACATGCCTTGCGGTTTCATTTGCAGCAGTAGTAATTGTATGGTATAAGCATGCTAACTTCATTATATTTTATGGATAAAATGGCTTAAAAACGTCTAATAAACATGAAAAGAACAACTTGCACAGTTGATAGTCACCAAAAAAAAAAAAAAATTGTAAACTGAGTCTTGGAAGGCATTACCTTAATGATGCAGGGGATGGTATGGATCCCAGTTGAGATTCAACTATGAAAAAGAAAATATTGGTATTGTTGCAAATTTTTCAAGGCCGTTGAATCAGATTACTCTTGGGATTCATTTCTGTAACTAAGAGAGTAAATTGTGTTGGCCTTGGTTCTATGAGAAAACAAGACCTGCAATTAGTTTCATTGCAATGTCTTTGTAACCATAACCATAGAAGAGATAGAAGGGAGGGGGGAGGATCACAGGATGCTGCACAACCCAAAATCTGAACATTGAATAGCTGCTTTCATCGTTGGCTATGATATGGGTTCCATCTCAAGATCACTTCGACGATGGAACTCTTCAAGCAATGATCTTATCTATGTCATTTCAGTCCTTTTGTTCTATATATGCTCTATGAAATATATATTAATGTGACAAAATGTTCTAGTTCTTTTTTTTTTTCCTCTCATGTTATGATATAGGTAAAATTATGGAGAATTTCTATAAATGCTTTGGAAGAAGTGTTGATCATATTATGAATTTTACTGCTAATCCCTTTAGCATCAATGGCGTAAGTGTTAATTAATCAATGAACAATATAACTTCATTTGGTCCAGCTATAATATAGCACAATTCTTTTGTTCTGAACATTCTAGAAGCAAATGGAAATCGACAGAGCCATTTGGCGTAAGTGAATTCAAATTGCTTTAGACATTTATCATGAGCCATGTCATGTTTCTGAGGTATTTGACATGCAAAACATCACTATTAAGAAGACTAACCATACATATTGACATATCTAAAACTAATATGCTGTACTGAAAATTCTTCTTTGTGAACTGCCAAGCATCCTTCCGAGTTCCTTCAATAATTGTTTTTTTAATTTCATGATCTTTTATTTTCATAGCTGTCCTGTAGTCTTGAGTTTGATGGTGCTTCAAAGGGAAACCCGGGATTAGCTGGTGCAGGGGCTGTGATACGTGCTGATGATGGAAGTCTGGTATGTAACCATTTGACTTATATTTTGTACTGTCGTTCACTTAATCTCTTGTAAAAGGTAGCTCTTTAATTTTGAGTTTTGATAGGTTTATCGATTGCGTGAAGGTGTGGGCATTGCAACCTGTAATGTTGCAGAATACCGAGCTGTGATTTTAGGATTGAAGTATGCTCTTAAGAAAGGATTTAAACACATTCGTGTCCAGGGCGACTCCAAACTTGTTTGTATGCAGGTTTCTCATTTTCTTTCAATAGACTTATGTTTTTTTTTTTTTTTTTTTTTAATTATTTTTTATTCATTTATTTTAAAATATATATATTCTTGTGAACTTTTTTTTTTTTTCCTAAATATTCTTGTGAACTTCATTCCTTACTAAAGCTAACTTAATTCTAATTTATTAAATTATAATTTTTTTCTTTGTCTTTTATGATAAAAAAATACCAATAAACATCTCCTTACGAAGAGATCTCGTTTGCATCTTTTTAGATATATTTATCACATTCCAAAAAAAAAAAAAAAAGAAAAACCTATTTGCCATTTTTTTTTTTCTTTCTCATAGTGGTTGTTTTGAGACATGAATATTGTCCTCAAGCTTATTGGTATGAGCTTTTACCATTACATTAAGCAATGACTCCATAGTAGATATTCTATCACGGAAGACATGAAAAACGCCCTATTTACTTCTGTAACCAGATATGCTTGTAATATTATTTTATGTCTACATGTCTGTAAATTCCTATTCTAATTGGATTGTAGTACAAATAGATTGTTCCAATAAGTTATATGGTCGGATTATAGAACTATTAATTGTCCACCACTGAACAAAATTGGTTGTTAGATTTTATTGGTTATTACAGGATTTACTAACTTTATTGCTCTGTAGTTACTACTGAGAATCAACTTCTGTTTTAATTAATGTTAGTATTAGGAGGTTCTTCTTTCGGCAAATACTTCTAAATTAGTGTTTTGTAAACCTAGAGATTTTATTAACACAGATGGTTGATCTGGCTTTTCTTTTCTTTCTATTTTTTTGGATTAGTGTGACTATAATTGTGGCTGGTTTTTTGTTTGAAACAGTGTGACCGCTGTCCACGTATGATTTTTTACACAAAGTAAAAATAGTCATTATGAAAACTACGATCTCTTGCTTAGAAAATCTTTAGCTAATTCTATTGGAAAAAGTATTTAGTTCCATCATAGTTCCAGAAAGCATTTGCCAGGCATACCTTAAGGCTCCCTCAGAGCAAGACAAGAATGGAAGTTTGACTTTGTTCAAAAATAAGCTTGAGGTTTACACACACACAGAAGAAACGTAGAGGTTTGAATAGCATATGGAATCAGCGGGGAAAAAAAAAGGGTTGACACTGTTGTGATATTGAGAATTTGAGAGTATTGTCCAATTTTTGATTGTATCACCACTCATCTAACTTCTTGGCTTTAAGTCTGGACATGATTACTTGTTGCTTCTCTCTGAGTTTTAATTTTTGCACAGTCTTACTCGATTTCATTGACTTTATCCAATGGAACAGATTCAGGGTCTGTGGAAAACCAAAAACCAGAATATGGCTGACCTGTGTAAGATAGCCAAGGAGTTCAAAGATAAGTTTATGTCCTTCCAGATCAAACATGTTGAAAGGGTACATTCAAACGATTCCTTTGTCTTCTGAAGTTTTGCTTTTATATCTAGATAATGGCATAGTGCAGTTTCATTTCTTAATGTGTGCTGAATATTATTCTGTTTCTCATGGGTTGTTTCAGCTGTAACTTGTAGAAATTTAGTACTGTTGGATGTTATTTGTATGCCTCTGATCATTTCATTAATCTCTAGATAAAAAATACATCTCTTGGGGTATCTGGCGCCTTGTCAAATGAGAAAATGAAATAGTTGTATTTTTTAAAACGTGGTACCCTAATCAAAATGTAAGAACAACCACCACCACCACCAAGCCTTTTCCCAATTACTTGGAGTCGGCTACATGAATCCCACGTTTCCATTATGCTCTAATCAAAATGTAAGAAATAACATGTAAATGTCATTCCATGACATCCAAGAATTCAGTCTCTATGTGATATGGAATAAGCTCATTTCAAATGTTACGTAAATTGTAATGGAACTATAAATGATTTTATTTAAATTGAGCTTCTGAAAACCCTTCAGAACTGATGTTTCTTATTTTAATATCTGATTTCAAGTGGTTGGACTTGAAGGTGCTTCCAAGTAGCTGCTATGATTTGCTATAGTTAAACTGATTAGGATAGTCTGCCACCATCCTAAAAAAAGAGATGGAAGTAAATGCTTATAAAGGAGCAACATAGTCATGAGTGGTTAATATTCTTTTGTGGATATGCTTTTGTTTCCCCTTCCCGATTTATCTCTTTAGAATCTTTTTGATTTTCTGTTTTTGATGTTGATATCAAATGATCCTGCTGGGACTGTGTGGCTGCTAAACTTCTACATGGTCTTTGTATTCTCAGATTAGAAACGGCTGATTTAATACTTTATGCTTCCCATGAATTAAATATTCCAAATTTTTTGCCTTCGACTGCTTTTTCTGGAGAATCTAGACTTCGTCCTACACTATTTAACATTGCAACACTTGATGCTTGTTATGTGCTTTGGCTTTATTGTTGATCTCAATACCATTATATGGGCTCATTAGTAAATTATTGGGAACAGTTAGGGTTACTAGTATTGGTACAATAAAAAAATCCATCATCTTGGTTTTGCATGTTTTAAAGCCAATTCAGTATAGGGTTTTCTCTGGGTGATGATCTTTCTGACTTTTACCTGCTCGATAAGCCATAAGCTCCATAATGGTTGAATGCCATTGGCTGAGCTTCATGATCACTTTGTATTTTGATCCAGTGGCATCTGTGATTGACTTCTATCAAGGAGACATGCTCTCGAGAGTCGAGACCATGAATAGAATCTGATGTCATCTTCTTATGCTCAGGTGGCCTCTTAGGGGTTGTGATTGGGGTTTCCTGGAACTTGTCATGAACAAATGTTACCTAATCATAATATTCAAAATCGAGTTTCAGTGCTGGATAATGCAACACGTGGTTTTAAGCTTTGTGTGGAACTATGAAGTACTCTGTTTTAGTGCTTGTAATGCTCTACTTGGACAATTCACTTTACATATTTTGTTGCTGAATCCTGTGAGAGTTCACAGCACCGGCTGGTGAGACACGGGCTTTCAGTGGGTGGGAGGGTCGAAATGGTTTCACATGGGCAAAACTATGTATTACTTTTACATGTTTTGCAACTGATAAAATTAGAAAGTTGTCATCATACTACTACTACCAGTAACATCATCAAAGTTTAATCAATTAATTGATAATGTAATTACCAACCCTTTTTTTGTCTACGTATTTACCTTTGCCTGACCTTTTTTTCATGCTGTGTTTCAAGGATTTTAACTCTGACGCTGATGCTCAAGCAAACCTTGCTATATTTCTCAAGGGTGAGGACCTTCAAGCTACTTTGAGTACTTTGCAAGATTTTATTTCAATCTAGTTTTCTTCTTTTTTTGCATTTGTAAGCCTGATAAGACTCTTATGCTCATGAAGATGGTGAGGTTCACGAGGAACATGACAAGATTCGCAGAAAAATTCAGTGTTTTTGATCCCGCCAGCTTAACCTTTTCCGGTTTGTGGAAAACCGGTGCAATGCATGTTTGTGGACTTGTTATCATTCAGACACTACCTTTTGGGGTTCTTGAAACAGGTGTCCTAAATTATGTATATATGCGCAAAATGTGTAAAGGAAAACGAAGGCATTAGAGCTAGAACTCTTGTGATGATCTATCATGATATTTTGTAGAACACTTGGTACCTTAGAAGGGTTTCTTTAGTATGGCCGTCACTGTTGCTCTATTAACCTAAAATGTTGTTTTGATTAAGGTGTCAATCATTTTATGGTTCCAATTATTGAGTAGATATCTAAACCTACAATTGAAACTTCGTAGTTTTCATTTGCATGACATGAGAGGCCATTGGTTAGTGCAATGGTAAAATGGTTTGGCTCTCATGCTTCACTGAGTAATGACCTTTTTTTTGTTCCTTACTCTAATATTTAAGGTTAGAGATATTTATTACTTAAACATTAACACACACTAATTTGCGAGCCCTTTTTATCATCTCTTGTGCTCATGCAGATTGTGATATATTTTAAGGAGAGATGGTATCTATTAGAGTCGCATACAAAACCAACAGACAATTGTAACATTATATAAATTATTATTATTATTTTTTAAAATGTTACCTGAAGTTGCAACTCACATAAAAAAAATCTAGTGTAAATTATATTGACCTTCAAAATAGGTTAAATAACGATTTTTGAGAGTTTTTAAAAATAACACAGATGCCCCTGTCTAATAAGTTCGTTTAAAAAATTAAGAATTTAATAAAATTTAATTTTGTTCTTAAAACGTAAATCACACAATTGTTCCAAATGGGTGTCATTTTTTCACTTTCACTTCCAAATTATTTTGTATGATTTAAAATTTGTCATTTTACGTTCTCGGTAACTTAGTTTAAAGATAGCTTGAATTATAAAAAAAAGTCTAGAATTATGAAGCCAAGCCAAATCAAATTGTGAGAAAATGATTTGATTTAGTTTCATTATTTACTGTTCAATTCGATTTTTATTTTATGAAACCATTAAATACGGTTTGAATCTAAAATAATTGTAAACGGGTCCAACTTGAACCGTGTGTCTTATTGAAAAAATGTGAGCGAGTGTGCCACATAGGAGATTACTCCCTACTTTTTTAACGAATATAACGCTTGTGGATAAAAGTACAAATAAAGGGCCTTTCACGATTAGTTTTACTCCCCCAGTCGATAGATTGAACATCAATGGCTACTACAACACTCTTACCATATTCAACACTCTGTTCCATTTCCAGAACCAAATCTACTACCCCATCTTCTTCTTCTTTGACCCTTCCAATTCTTCGAATTCCTCAATTTCAAAGCCCTGGAAACATTGCCAGTCGTTACCCTAATTTATCACTTGTCAACAAGTTGACAAAATCGAGAACCATTGTTAGGTCAGTAGCAGAGGAAACCCTAATTCCAGAAGATGCAGAGCAGAACACTGCTACCATAGAAGGAGAAGAAGCGCCCACCACTGCCATAGAAGGAGGAGAAGCGTCCACCACTGACCAGACCGTTTCCGTCCCGGTCTCGCCTTCCGACGTTCTCACCATGTTCTTTCAGGTACTAATACGCCGCCGACTGTGTTTGAGTGTGTGAACTTCAACTTGGAATTTTGATAATCTGTATGTCTTGCTTATGAGAAATTCTGATTATTGTGTGGGTATTGATGGTTTGAGTAGTGAACACTCTCAATTTTGCTTTATGCCCAATGAATTGTTTGTTACTTCAACAGAATCATTTATTTGTCATCAACTGGATAGTGCTACAACTTTGAATAAAATTGAAGCATCATCTTACTTTTGTCTATAATTATTGTATATGGCATTACACAAATTTTTATTGAACTATGTAATTTTTATTGAAAATGAAAAGTGATGGCCGTTAATTCTGTTAATTGGGAGGGGAGAGTAGTGAACACCTCAATCGAGCCACCGAGGAAAGAAATAATGTACATGGCTATCTAGTGAAGGCATACCTTTACAATAGAAAAAATGTAAAAGCACCATTTTCAATAGCAATGGAAAATGGAGACAAAATGGATGTTTTACTCTTCAGGACATGTATAGCATTTACTAGTTGTATTACAAGGGAAAAATGATAATGCTCACATTCTTTCACTTAACACCTCAAATCTGAGGCATTTGTGGTATCGTTGTAATAATTAAGTGATAATAACGTATTTGGTTGTTTTTTCTTTGATTCATAGTCATCTATTTGGTGATTTGAAAAAGTTTTCAAAAATACTTAATTTAGCTTTGAATCATTAAATACTCTGTACTTGAATCCTTCTGCACTTCTCCATACATTGAATTGTTTTCTTGTAGACCTCACAATCCTAATTTATTATATGATCTTGCGATTCATGAATGAAAGTTATGTGCTTTTATATCACTTACATCGTTAACTTTCTGAATATCAAGGCTGAAGGATCGATGAATGAGGCAGGTATTCCTACAGTGACCAAGGCTTTAGAGGTATCTATCTTTGCTCTTCAAATTGTCTCATGTTTTGAACCTTTCAAATGCGTAGGTATTTCCTTTCTCATTTCCTTTTTCAAAAAAAATTCTGTTAGATTTTGTGTGCAGTTTTAAGCTCACCATCTTCATGGTGAAATCTCCCAATTCTCAATACTGTACTATCATTGTTGGCTCTCCATGTTCATTTGGTTGGTCAGTTAAAAAAAAAGTTCCTTTTGCAATGTAATGAGTTACAGTTCTATCTCATTTAGGGTATCTCATTAAAATGTTTTCTTGTGTGCGAAATCCTCTTATATTGTCTGTCACATTGTATAATAATTCACTATCTTTTACTTTTTAACCTTTGCAATTGAATATTCATTTACTATTTTGCAGGAAGCAGAGGGCATTACAAATTTAAAAGTTCAAGTCCTTGAGGGTATTGCTAGTGTTGAGGTTAGTAAATGCTGCTTGTTGCGTCTTACATCTCGTATAGTGAATTTTTGGTCAATGAGAGTTGCATCTTCTGTTTTAATGACCACCTTGTGTGTGGAGTAAAAAAATTGAAGAAATTTGACAAGTATTTCAATTACAATGGTAGAAACTACAAAGTACCCCAAATACTATGCTTTGCTCTTAGACAATCCTATTGGGCAGCTCTTTTGCAATCACCAGTACTAGCATATATAAAAGACTCTGAGAATTCAATTGCCTTTTCTAACATCAGTAACTCCTAATGTAACCTCAAATTCACACTGGTCAGTAACTTTAAACTATCGCCCCACGTGACACTCAAACCACCAGCTCTACCTATAGGATCAACATCAACACCTTGGTGCAATCCCAGACTTCTTCTAATGGGATCAATTCTGTGGCTAGAATTTTTTGTTTCCAACAAAGCTACCATTAGATTATAAGCTCCAAGTTGACTTATATTTGAAACCCTTCTGTCAATGAACAACTACCTATGGAATCTAGTGGCTGCACATGTGCTGTGTGGGGGTTACATTATTGAGAGTAGTCTCTCTCTCCATGGTGTATCCCGTTTACATGGGAATTTTCAGTGCATTTTAATTGATCAAAATTTAAATTTTTTTTGGGCTAGAGATACTAATAGTCGTTCTTTTCTCATCTTTTTGTTTAGTTAACAAAACAGACGACTGTACAAGCAGCAGGGGTGGCTTCCAGTTTAGTTGAGATCATACAAGGTTCAGGCTTCAAGTTACAATCATTGAATTTGAGTTTTGAGGATGAAGAAGACATCAACTAGACAAAAAAAACAAAAAAAAGGTTTGAAACTCCTCCCAAGAATCTTGGAATCCAGGCAGATGCTGGAAAATGTATTGAGTTTACTCGGGATTGTTAGTTTTATAGGCCTCTTCTCTTGTACGATGTTGTGCAATTACTTTATCAGTGGAAGTAGTTGAAGTTCACAATTTAGATTGAGAATTGTCTAAATATGTTTGATCAAACTTTGTTTTGCAAGCTGTTCTGAAATCCAGAATGCCAACATTGTGGCTTTTGTTTCCCTGAAGTTCCACAGTATGTTCTCATTGTCATAATTTTGTTAGTGGAACATCAATTCCAACGGTGTTTACAATAATTCATTTGGAGTACGGTTTCATCCATCCAAAGTTCAAAGCTTTCGTCTGAATTCATTCAGTTTCATGTTAAAAATCAGAGGGGAAAATGCAACCATCTTACCTGATTGCATTATCTTTTCTAGTTTCAGGCCACCTCTGATATTTATTTTTAAAATTTTCAACAACTGTACCATTGAGTAATTGACCGACTTTGGACTGAAAAATTAATATCAAACCAGTTGAATAATCAGCAAGACCCTGTAAAGATGTTAGGTGATACCTCATTTAAGTATTATTAAATACATCTTTAATTACATAGCTTCATATGGATCAGCAAAACTATCTACTATTTTTTTTTTTTACCCAATTAAGTTATCTTTTATGGTTTTGTATTTTATTATTATTATTTTTTGGTTAGCCCAATGCAGAATGCCACATGTATCTGTATTACTTACCTTTTGATAACATGACAATGAATATTTTTTTAGATGACAATGAATATTTTTTAGATGACAATGAATTCCCTCGGTAGGATCTGGAATTTGGAAGTTGTTATCTGTTGAGTAAATGGCAGTGGTACCAATAAACCATGCATAAATTATGATCAAACTGTGAGGATATTTTCAGTTAAAGGTGTTTCCATGAAGATAAGTACCGCTGCTTCTTATATTACATGGATTTGGGTACAGATGTCGGGCACGGGTATGTATTCATGTATTGGACGTGTCAAATCTCTAAACAGAATAACACACGGACACGGCTAAATTTTTATTTTATTTTATTTTATTTTCTAGAGTAAAGTAATATTTTCATCTAATATAATGTTCAATATAGACATTTAACTCATTTTAAAATAATAATATTATGTAATTGAATGAATGTGTATGTTTTTTTTTAAGTATATGTCTAATCAAAAGTGTATGACACATAACCCATACCCAATCCATATACGAGGGATACGTGTCTGACATGTGTATTACACTACTTTTGAAGAGTCCATGTAATAGAGGTTGCTTCTATACTAAAATAAACTCATTCTTTTGGTTTTTTTTCCTTGCTTGTTTATGAATTATGCACAAGATGAATATTACATGGTAAAATAACAAAGAGGCTGATTATTTTGAAATTCCTTTAATTAAGAGAACTTACTTTATAGGCTAATATGAGAGTGTTCAAGTGTGTAGCAGATTTTGATGACTTAGTTGGTTCCAAAGATGTGAAAATAAAATCCAGTATTCTGAAAAATCAATTCGAAATTTCCAAATACAGCTGCTCTTGGTTGATATTGAAGGAGCTAACTTATGTATGATCAAGTTGACCAAAAAAAAAAAAAAGATTAGTGAGACAACCATGAAATCTTGCACCGATTTACGTTGTTAGAAATAAAAAAATATTATCCAATAGTCAATAAACAAGAATGAAATATATTATTTTAGGAGACAAAATTATTGAGCCCAGTGAGTTCCACCCTTAAAATTAGATTTGTAGCTGCTGCTTGTGTGGGGAAGGCTGAAACAGACAGTTCTAATTTCTACTTTTTATGTGGGGAAGGCTGAAGCAGACAAAACTAATAGCACTAATGTTGGCTTGTTACATAGCATATTGCTTCTATATATATATCTCAGCTCATTGATGTCTCATTCATCACTTAGACAACTTCTTCACCAGCCTTTGTTTCTTCCCTGCCATAGTAACAATGGCCATGAAAGCTATTCTCCTTCTGTTAGCTTATCTGCTTTTAGCCGCCGCCACCACTACCACAACGGTATGTGAAATCACTAATATTTAAGACAACATACATATGCATGATTAGGCCTCAGTCCGGATGGTATGATCTTTCCTCATCAGAGGGGAGGTTGATAGTTTTGAGTCCCGCGAGGGACATATTGAGTGTATGGGTGTGTGTTTGCTTTAACTTCCCAAAAACCAATCAATTTGCCCTCCTCTCTCATAACACACATGCACACATTTCCTAGTCTCTTTTTCTCTTGATCTTTCATAATGTTTTGAATAATCATCAATATAGATTAGGTTTTTTATAGGTGTCATTTGTCCTAGAAGATATTGATTTGAAGCTAATTCAAAACTAAAATGGTCTTATTAACAAGGCAGACATTCTAGTCGTTTGTTGCTACATTTATAATTATTCTTGCATAGAATTGAGAAGCTTTATTACGTGACTCTGCATTAAGTTCTATGATCATTTCATCAAATGTGACTCAAAGTCTCAAAGCAAGCAATTTATTTGATAAAATGCTGCATTTTATTTTATTTATAATTTGTAGTGTCTCTTGCCAAAGTTCCATCAGAACATTTTGTTCTCTCTTTGGTAGTTCAAATGAATCAACTGCAATCAAACAATCACTAACTTTGGATTTGGTGATTTTTGTAGGATGCTACCAACGCTCCATCCCATGCCCCTGTGAAGGCTCCTGCTCATGCCCCTGTGACAGCTCCCGCGCATGCCCCTGTGAAGGCTCCTGCTCATTCCCCTGTGAAGGCTCCCGCGCATGCCCCTGTGAAGGCTCCTGCTCATGCCCCTGTGACAGCTCCCGCGCATGCCCCTGTGAAGGCTCCCGCTCATTCCCCTGTGAAGGCTCCCGCGCATGCCCCTGTGAAAGCTCCCGCGCATGCCCCTGTGAAGGCTCCTGCCCATTCACCTAAAAAGTCCCATGCCCATCCGCCTAGAAAGTCCCATGCTCACCCCCCACCCCCACCACCTAAAAAGTCCCATGCCCATCCACCTAGAAAGTCCCATGCTCACCCCCCACCCCCACCAAAGGCTCCAGCTCATCCCCCAGTGGCGCCACCGGCTCCCAAACATGGTACTAAACCTAGAAAATCAACAGATAATTCATTGTTGATTGCTAATACATTTTGATAGGATGTATTATAATGTGATGGATGTGTGTTGCAATGCAGGTTGTGTCCCATTGTGTTCAGAGTACTGCGACTCGCACCCTAGCAAGAGATCATGCATGAGAGTATGCACTGCTTGCTGTGACAAGTGCAAATGTGTACCAGCTGGAACTAACAAGTGCACCAATTGGGATCATGTGATGTATCATGGTAAAATGGTCAACTGCCCATAAAATGGCAAAATTCCTTTGGTTTCTCGATAATGTACTTATTATTATTATTTTTTTTCCTGTCTTGGCTCTATAATGTTCAACACATGTTATTTCATCTTCTTTCTTTCAGTCTCTGTGTTTGTTTAATTGTGTAATAAACCCTATGATGGGATTTATGTAATAAAGCTTTTATGGATCCTCTATGAATAAGCAGTTATTACTCTGGTGAAATTTCTATCATTTTTCTGTCGAGTTGCATTCTAACAATGACCAATAGTCCCTACTCTAATTTTCTAACAAAATGCACAAAAAGTAAGATTCAAAAAAAAAAAGTGTAACAAGCATTATCATTATCTGCTTTTCGAATTTCACCAAGTTCTGTGAATCCATTCAATTTCAATGTGAAGTGCAATCCATTCAAGATTGTAAGTTTTAGGAACTAAAGATGCGTTCCAACTACTTGGCTGGCTGGTGAAGACTGTGGAGTTCACACCATAGACTTCGCCTCAATTTTATGTCCTTGTCGAATTTGTCCTCCTACCATGCTATTTAATTTTTTTTTTTTTTTTTTTTCCTGGATTGATCAATGTATAACAATAAATATTATGTAGTTAAATAATAAAGTGTTATGCAATGGTGAATAAATTAAAATAAAATTTATTACTTCAGCATTCAAAACCATTTAATCCAGTGAGTTTGAACCTTAAAATCCAATTCATAACTGTTGCAAGTGTTTGATATTAGTGTCTTTATTTGGGGAGCTGAAACAGACAATCTAATAGCACTAGTGTCAGCTTGTAACAGTACACATTTCTTCCATATATATCTTAGCTCAACAAAACTCTTCACCAATCTTTGGTTCTTCGCTTCCAGATTAGCAATGGCTATCAAATCTATTATCTTTTTGTTAGCCCATATGCTTTTCTTCATTGCAATGGTATGTGACATGACACACACACACACAAGACACCACAGCCAACCTGAGTCTAACTAATCTATATTACTTGGGCAAAGGCTCATCCTCATTCCCCAAGTAATGCTCCTGCATATTCACCGGCAAAGACTCGTACTCTTTCCCCAGGTAAGGCTCCCGCTCATCCTCCAGCGAAGGCTCATCCCCATGCTCCAGAAAATGCTCCTGCTTATTCCCTCCAGAGGCTCTTAACACATGGTGTACCAAATCTATGCAACGAAACTTGGAACAGAAAAGTAAAAAAAAAGCATATTTGCTTCAATTATAATTAGTGACAGGGTCTATTGTACTCAATCCTGTTACTTCTTATTTGTTAATTTATTTATTTTTTATGTTCGTTAAATCATGTAATGGTTTCACAAGCCTTTATATAACCATAACGAGCTCTTACTATTATTACTTGTGAATTTTTTTGTTTAGTTTCTGATATCATAATCATGCTTTATCATGAGAGTTGGCATTCTAATATGGATGATGATCTATAGTCTTCTGCTTTCAGTTTCACAATTTCAACAATATAAAGTTCACTCAGTTATTTACAGTCCATACAATCAAATTTCCTGTAACAGTTTCCAAAAATATATTATGGTGATACAAATAAACATAAAAACAAGAACGCGTTGGTAAACGTACAGTATTTAAAAGATCTACCTTTTACCTCATCTGACCCTTTTGAAAATCTTCATTATCTTGCATTGATTCATTTTCTTGCATTGATATGTTTTATGACACAGCACACAGCTGCAATGGCACAAGCACAAGTATGTGCACGTGCATGCACACACATACTCATTGTTTTCGCAAATACTGTAGTTATTTTTATGATTTGTTCTTTGGCTTATTGTTTTGGATGGTTGCTACTCAGTACTACGTTAAAAAGCTGAAGGCACACATGTTACACACACAGGGTAACAAGTTATTTAATTTTAATCCAATATAGTATGGGAATCTATACAATATAAAATAGCTGGTGTGTAACCAAGTTGGGCTAAAGCCAGCAGTGCCACATGCTCAGTCAGATTTCAGACTACACCAATACCTAATATCTCACCAATAGTTGAAGGTGGCAATCGTTTTGACCACAACCAGCTGGATGTGACTGCTATCTTCACTACTCACACCTATATATATATATATATATATATTACTACACTTCCATGCTGCTTAAATCAACACCAATTAAGTAGCTTTCTGCACTTGGTGGCTACTTTTGTTCCTACAATGGCTTTTAAAGCTATGCTCTTCCTGTTGGCCTCTTTCCTGTTAGTTTCTGAACTTAGGGTATGTTCCTCTCTCAACCTTCTTTCGTTCCTTCATAAAGAATGACCTTAGTTGGGAACCAATGGAAAAATAGTCACTATGATTAAAACCTATTTTCTCATTGGGTTCCACTACCATGTGAGATGTGTTTTTGACCTAATTGTTGTTCATCAATGTTTCCTCAACTTTGCTAACATTTTTTTTTTTGCTCTTGTAGGTTTCATCTAATGGTGAAGAATTCTTAATGGAGGTAATGCCAGGACAAGAAGTCAAGAAAATATATTTTTCCTCCTTTTATCTGATAAGATCTGATTGAACAATTGTATTAATTAGAATGAAAAATATCACAATCAACACTGCAACACACTACATTGACAATACTACATGCTACATTACAAATGTAACAATGATGTAACATTCATCCACATATTTACATTCAAGATGCAACGCTTATATAACATATTATATCGTGGTACAATACTGCATCACTATTCAATCGAGAATTCAATACCTTTACGTAGTTATTTCGTGATCATTTTAGAGTTCTTGTTTTGTTGATTTAACATATGCAGGACTACTTACCAACAAAAAGACCACCACGAGTACCACCTGTGATCCAGATCCATGCTAAAGTCCCAGTATCTACTCCAACTCATAGCCCGCTAAAGGCACCGCCTCCAGTTCATGTCCCAATTAAAGCACCACCTGCTGCTCCTCCAGTTAAGCCACCAGTTTCTGCCCCTCCGGTGAAACCACCGGTTTCTGCACCTAAGCCCCCACCAATTAAAACAAGAATAGGTAGCTTATACATTTTCCTACAACACAGAAATGTTTGAAACTAACTTTTAGCAGCCAATCTAAATATTCAATATTATGACAATGTGTTTTGGTGGTTTGTGTCCAGATTGCATTCCCCCATGTACAGAAAGGTGTAAGAACCAATCAAGGAAGGGACTGTGCTTGAGGGCATGTATGACATGCTGTGATCGATGCAAATGTGTTCCACCAGGAACATATGGTAACAGAGAGAAGTGTGGCAAGTGCTACACTGATATGACCACCCGCGGTGACAAACCTAAGTGCCCATGATACGAGTTTGTTACTACTTTTCTTAGTGAGTATGAAATTGAGGCTTGTTACATTGGCTAAATGTGTAATAAATTTGATAATGGGAACAAAATATAATGGTTCTTCAGTGACCACTACCAACTGCAACAATATATGACAAAGTAGACTTACAGCCAGGACTCATATTCTACATTCTGTCTTAACCCTTTTGCAAAAAAAAAAAAAAAAATTGCATTTAATAAATTTTTTAGTTGTTTTTCCCCAAATACTACATAAATTATGGAAGAAAGTCTTTTAGTTTATTACCCCAGTAAGCAAGCAGATTGAAGGTAATTGGACTTGCAACTTCTTCGAACTTTTCTGTTTTTTCCCCAGTGATCCTTTATAGAGGCTCCATGTTGCACCAGGTTTGCTATCGCTCTATGAAAAGTGATTCACACAGCCAATGCATCTAATTTCATGGAATTCAACATCCAATAAGTCCTAATATTTTAGCGAAGTCTACCGAAATTTGTATGTGTGTGGTTCATTTTGATCACAAGTACGATTATTCTAGTATCAAGATTAAGACTACATGCCATTGTTCATTGGGTTCATGGAAATTAATTTCATAATGAGATATTAAAATCCCAACTTATATTGGGATTCCTCATATTCAACTTTGGTGACACTTGTATTACAAACCTAATGATGACAATTAGGCACCTTCGCATCAAAATATCTGCAGCCCAATGGTCGTCACCAGAACAGGAAATTAGTTTCCATTCAGTATGCACATATTTCCATGCTTAATGCATGTTCACCCAAGGCTGTTTTAAATCTCTACCGATGCTCAAATTATGACTCACAGAACCTGGAAAATTAGGTAAACCAGGTACTAAGTTTGTGCTGTGTATGCATCTTCTATGCAGCTTGACACCACCACTCCATCCCAAGATAAAAATCATGAGAGGAAAAACTCAAAAAATATAATTTAAACCCATCAAAATAATGGCATTCTTTCAATACAAACTTATCAAAGCTGAAGCATGTTGAAGCTGAATTTGTAATGTTTAACATTTTGTGTCCTTTTTGAGATGTCCAACTTTTCTACAATAATCATCAATAAATGTAACAAAATATAAGAGTCTATCATCAATAATGCACCACCAAGTCTTTTAATTTTCATGGGACCACAAACATTAGAGTGTATCAAATCTAGCACTCTAGATTTTCTTAATAGAGTTATTTGAAATGTAACTCTGTGTTGTTTTCCAGCCAAGTAATGCACACAAGTTTTCAAAGGCATACCTTCCATATCTGGAAGAAGCCGCTTCTTGGCTAGAATGTCAACTCCCTTCTGACCCGTGTCCAAGCCTCAAATGCCATAACTAAGCAGAGCAATCATTCTCCACTGCATTCACCAAATCTCTATTGAGCTTCACCTGCATGACATAAAGCGTAGAACTCTTCTTTCCATCAAAACTTGAAAGTTTAAAACTCTTATTTCCATCAATACTCAAGTTAATGACAGTTTAAAGTGTAGGAAAGATGTAGTGACTCTTCTTTCCATCAAAACTTTAAAGTTTAGAACTCTTATTTCCATCAACACTCAAGTTAATGACAGTTTAAAGTGTAGGAAAGATGTAGTGACTCTTCTTTCCATCAAAACTTTAAAGTTTAGAACTCTTATTTCCATCAACACTCAAGTTAATGACAGTTTAAAGTGTAGGAAGGATGTAGTGATTGGTGTCTATACCAGGTCATTGACAGTTTAGTTTTTGTACACAAAACCTAGAGGAAGATATGTAAGTTTTAGGAACTAAATGTGTTCAACTTCCAACTATTTCGCCGCTGAACCCGGTAGAGTTCATACCACAAACTTGGGCTCGCTGAACCCGGTAGAGTTCATACCTCAAAATTGGGCTCAATTATATATTCTTGTCAAATTCGTCCTCCTACTAAGCTACTTTTATATCTTAACTAAAAATGTTTGGGGGGGGGGGGGGGTGGTGTGTTTGCTAGAACTTTTACTTCTATACATAAAATAGCTATATATGTATATCTATATTTCTTTCTGGAATTATCATGTATAACAAGAAATGACACTTGATAAAATAAAAAAGGGTTGGTAAAACAATTTATTTATTCAATGTTTAACGTCTTCCAGACATATCATCCAAGTCAATATATAGGATGATGTTCCTGTCGATCAGCATCATCATAATTTCAGAATTTCTGCCAAAAAACTGACCATTTTGAAAATGTTTTAATTTCGAAAGAGCATCAATTAAAATATAGGCTAATATGGCAATATGACACACTGATTTTAATCAGCTTTTTTTAATTTTATTTTTACATGAAGATAAAATTGACTTTTTTGCAGAATCTATTCAAAATTTCCAAATCAATTGGTTGATACTAAAGGAAATATTTTATCTAAAATCAAGGGAAACGGTTGAATAGAGAAGGTTGAAAAAGAAAAGTGAGGAAAACATGAATTCTTAGATTATTCACAGACACAAAGACATGAATTCTTGCATTTAAAGGTCAGTAGGGCAGTGTTTTAAGTGTGAAAGATTTTAATGATGACACATTGATTTTAATCAGCTTCATAGACATGAAGAATAAATTTACTGTTCTGCAACATCAATTTGAAATTTCAAAATCAATAACATATATTTGTTGATTGTGAAGGACTACTTCAGTTATCTGTGATCAAGTGGACCATCCAATTAAATCGAGGAGGTAAAAAATACAAGTGAGAAAACTGTGAAATCTTGCACTGATTCACATTGTTACAGATAGAAAACTCTCTGCAACGGTCAATAAATTAAAGTAATATTTATTAATTCAGTATACAAATTCATTTAATATAGTGAGTTTGAACCTTAAAAATTCAATTTATAACTGTTGCTTGTGTTTGATATTGTCTTTATTTAGGAAAGCTGAAACAGAGAATCTAATAGCAGTACTAATGGCATTTTGTAACAGTACCAATTGCTTCTATATATACCTCAGTTCATTGCTGTCTAATCTATCAGCCAACACAACTCTTCATCAATCTTTGGTTCTTTCCTTCCAGATTAGCAATGGCGATGAAAGCTGTTATCGTTTTGTTAGCCAATATGCTTTTCGTCATAACAGCGGTATATGATATGCCACAGACACACACACACACACAAGATGCACACAAGACACCACAACTGATAAAATTTGCAGCCTGTTCAATGTCTAGGACCTAAGTCTAATCCATACACAAATATCTTCTTCAAATCACAAATTATTGTTCCTTCCCCTCTCTACATTATACATGCATACTTTTTCCTAGTCTTTCTTTCCCTTGATTTTTCCTAATTTATTTGTTTCTCATTAATATAGTTTTGCCTTTGTAGGTTTCAGCTGTGGAAGAGGAAATTGACCCACAGGTAATTCAAAACAAACACTCCTGCCTTAATGGTTGTTTATATGTTTATACTTTGGCTTATTATTTGAAAGGTAGACAGGGCTTTGTTACTTTTATCACTGCATTGACACTTTAATTTGTACAGAGTATATTACAATGTTTATGGATCAAAATCAAGACTTTATTAGGAAATGAAAATGAGTCAGTTCACTAATTTTCAAGCATAGAATTTTTTTGCCAATAAATTTTATCATTTTTCAAACTAGTTAGTGTAACCAAGCAATTATTTTGATAAAATATTGCATTCAGTCTCATGCCAAAGTCCCATAAGACTGATGTAATCAAGCAATAGAATTGATCTAATTTTTTAATTTGTTGATCTTTGTAGCATGCCTATGACCCTTTCCCAGTCAAGGCTCCATCTCATGCCCCAGTAAAAGTTCCTGCCCATTCCCTGGCAAAGGCTGATCATCCTTATGCCCCAGGTAAGGCTCCAACCCATCCCTCCACAAAGGCTTGGCCTCATGCCCCAAGTAAGGCTCCTGCTCATCCCCATGCTCCAGGACAGGCTCCTGCCCATTCCCCAAAGGCTCATTCCCATCCCCCTCACGCCCATTCCCCAAAGGCTCATTCTCATCTCCCTCATGCCCATTCCCTAGCAAAGGCTCATCCTCGTTCCCCAAGTAAGGCTCCTGCCCATCCCCCGGTAAAGGCCTCTACTCATGCCCCAAGTAAGGCTCCTGCTCTTTCCCCAGCGAAGGTTTATCCTCGTTCCCCAAGTAACGCTCCTGCCTATTCACCGGCAAAGACTCATCCTCATTCCCCAAGTAATGCTCCCGCCTATTCACCAGCAAAGGCTCACACTCTTGCCCCAAGTAAGGCTCCTGCTCATCCTCCAGCAATGACTAATCCACGTGCTCCAGGAAATGCTCCTGCTTATTACCCGTGGCCCTTAAACATGATAGTAAAACTATTCAATTAACCTTAGAAAAGAAAAATAAAAAAAGTAAATTTGCTTCAATTATAATTAGTGACAGGGTCTATTGTACTCAATCCTGTTACTTCATATTTGTTAATTTATTTATTTTTTATGTTGGTTAAATCATGTAATAAGCACTGAGATTGAATGAAAAAAATGTATTCATAAGCCTACATGTAACCATAACGAGCTCTTATTATTACTAGTGAATATTTTTGTTCAGTTTCTAATATCATAATCATGCTTTATCATGAGAGTAGGCATTCTAATATGGACGATGATCTGTAGTCTCTGCTTTCAGTTTCAAATAAAGTGTGAGAAAGACAAGACACAAATTGAAGAGTGTAAGAAATTGCACAGTTTCAACAATATAAAGTACACTGAGCTATTTACAGTCCGTATTGTATCAATGTTTGGACTAGAGCTAAGTTGGAGCATTCTTTTGGGTTCAATATACTGATTTGGCATCTAAATCATGCCATTGGCACTTCATTATACTAACTCACAATCAAATGTGCTGAAAATGTTTTCCTAATAATATTTTATGGTGAAACAAACAAACATAAAAGAACAAGAAAGTGTTAGTAAATAGTATTTAAAAGATTTACCTTTTACCTCATCAAAACACATCATGACATCAACCATTTTAATAGGAAGTTAGACTGGCACTACATTATACAAACTCACAATCAAATGTGCTGAAAATGTTTTCCTAATAATATTTTATGGTGAAACAAACAAAACATAAAAGAACAAGAAAGTGTTAGTAAATAGTATTTACAAGATTTACCTTTTACCTCATCAAAACACATCATGACATCAACCATTTTAATAGGAAGTTAGTCCGGTTGATCGGACGTATCAATATTTCTGAATTATTACCAAATAGGCATACCCTTTTGAAAATCTTTCCATTTTTAAGGAGCTTCACCTTATAGCCTAATGTAGCAAACTGATGTTTAACTGGTGGCAATTTTACAAATTTTTTGGCAAGTAAGTGGTGGCAAATTTTGATAAAATCTGCCACCACTTGCTGTACTGCAAATGTTAATTCACTTGGATCAGTTTAATGAGTTTCGTGGACATGAGATGAAATTGACTGTATTGCAAATTTAATTCAAATTCTCCAATTCATCCTAATCATGGTTGATAGTGAAGGAACTACTACTGTGTTATGATCACTTGAATCAGCTAAATCAAAAAGGTAAAAACACACTTGTGGAAATTCCACATAATCTTGCATTGATTCATTTTGTTAGAAGCGCAAACCTCGAGACAAGAGGCACTATCCTAATAAGCACACAAGCTTTCTGGACTAACGTGTTTGTGCTCCCCAAAGCTGTGATTACAAAAATAAATAGAATTTGCATGGTCGGACAGAAATGAAGAACAATGGAGCTAAGTTTGCAAGGAGCAAGAAGTGGATTAGATCTTCCTAATCTGGAAAGGCTAAACAGATTTTCAGTACTCAAACATCTATGGAATGCAGTAACAGAGAACAAAAACAGTTCATGGGCTTTAGGGGTATCCACATACCTGATCAGAGGAAAAAGCATCTGGCAAATCAAAACTCTTCAAAAATGTTCCTGGTGTTGGTGGAAACTTCTCCAACTTGGCCCCTTTTTCCAACTCTTCATCAAGAAATCAATTGGAAATGGTGAATCCATGGCTTCGACCTTCCCCAGTTCCATTACAAGCTAACTGTAATGCCTGGACTTCATCATCAAACTGGAAATTTTCCCTCAAACACACCCTCAATCACGAGTGTAGATATTGTCCGCTTTGCACACTCTCCAGTACTCACTGTTTTACTCAAAACGTGTCTATAGATTTAGGGGATGTCACACCCTTCAATACCACTCTCGTCCTCAACCCTCAGGCGACTGATCACACATTGTATGGAACTCAATCTCCATCCTCAACAAAAATTTATCCCTGGCTCACGGTTCAGAATCGTCTTCCAAGTCTTGATCAGAAGAGCCAAGACACTGCTCTCTATGCCTTGAACCTCTTGAAACCCTAGATCAACTTTTCTTCTCTTGCCCCTTTCTCTTCCCCCAATTTGGAACTTCATTCAATCGGTGTGTAGTTTTCACACCGGACATCATAGTTAGCTTGAACTTAGCCAATGGGCATCTCATCACTAGAAAATAAAAAAATTGCTCCAACTCCATCAACAAATTGGGTTTATCAGCAACAGTTTATCACCTCTGGATCGAACGACTTGCTAGGGTCCTTAAGGGTTCTTCTTCTACTACACAAAACTCTGTTCTGAACAGAACCATGGACTCCATTAGAAGAAAGCTACTCACTGTATCTACGTCTGCCTCAATGTCAACAAGGGTTTCTAGCCGTTACCAATGGGCTTCTGAAACTGATGTGGTAACAGGTTACTGTGCTTGCCGTCACAACGGCTATATGAACAACCTGTTAAATGGGCCCAAGGAGACTGGGCCTAGTTTACGCATTTGAACTCCCAAATATTTGGGCTTTATTCTACACCTTACGTATGCTTGTCTCAGTGTTGTTAATTCATTCTTTATACGCTCGTTGAAATTATTCCTCTCTTTTAAAAAAAAAAAAAAAATTTATTTTTAAACAATTTGCTTAAATTTCAGGAAAAACAAAAAACAAAAACGAAAACGTCATTCAATGGTAAAACGAAAATAAAATAAAATAAAACCTAAAATGAGTAAACTAAACAAATTTTCTAGGAGTCTTTTGATGTCGTAGGTAACAAAGAGAAGTGCTACACTGATATGACCACCTGTGGTGGCAAGCTGAAGTGCCCATGATCTCAAGTTGGTTACTACTTTTTTCAGTGAGACAGAAATTAAGGCTTATTACATTGGCTAAATATGTAACAAATTTGATTCTGAGAACAAAATAAATGATTCTTCTTTGACCATTACCAAACTGCAATTATTAATGACAAAGCAAACTTTTATTACTTCAGCATACAAGACCATTTAATCCAGTAAGTTTGAAACTTAAAATCCAATTCATAACTGTTGCATGCGTTTGATATTAGTGTCTTTATTTGGGGAGCTGAAACAGACAATTGGCAACTTTTAACAGTACACATTGCTTCTATATATACCTCAGTTCACTGCTGTCTAATCTATTACCCAAACACAACTAGTCACCAATCCTTGGTTCTTTACTTCCAGATTAGCAATGGCTATCAAAGCTATTATCTTTTTGTTAGCCCACATGCTTTTCATCATTGCAATGGTATGTGATAGACACACACACACACACACACACACACACACACAAAAGACACACCACAATGGATCGACTTTGCTGCCTATTGAATGTGTAGGATCTGAGTCTAATCTATACACAAATGCCTTCTTCAACCGAAAAAAAAAAAAATTGATTTCTCCTCCTCTCTCTCTATCTCCACAACACATGCATACTTTTTTCTAATCTCTTTTCCCTTAATTTTTTCTGATGTATTTGTAACTCATCATTAAACTAGTTTTGCTTTTGTAGGTGACAGCTGTGAAAGAGGAAATTGACTCACTGGTAATTCAAAACAATACTACTTTTGCGTTCAGTAATATGTACAGAACTCCCATGCCAAAGTCCCATGAGACCCTATGTTTTCATTGGTACAATGACTTATAATCAAGCAATCGAATGGATCTAATTTTGAATTTGTTGATTTTCATAGGATGCCCATGCCACATTCCCTGTCAAGGCTCCATCCAATGCCAATGTAAAGGCTCCTATTCATGCCCCGGTAAAAGCTCCTGCCAATCTACCAGGAAGGTCCCATATCCATCCCCCAGAGAAGGCTCCTGCCCATTCCCCAACAAAGGCTGATCATCCTCATGCCCCAGTTAAGGCTCCTGCCCATTCCCCGGCAAAGGCTCATTCCCACTCCCCTCATGCCCATTCCCCGGCAATGGCTCATTCCCGTCCTCCTCATGCCCATTCCCCAGCAAAGACTCATTCTCACCCCCCTCATGCCCATTCCCCAAAGACTCATTCCCATCCTCCTCATGCCCATTCCCCGGCAGGGGCTCATTCCCATCCTCCTCATGCCCATTCCCCAGCAAAGACTCATTCTCACCCCCCTCATGCCCATTCCCCAAAGACTCATTCCCATCCTCCTCATGCCCATTCCCCGAAGGCTCATTCCCATCCCCCTCATGCCCCAGGTAAGGTTCCTGCCAATCCCCCAGTAAAGGCTTGTCCTCATGCCCCAAGTAAGGCTCCTACTCTTCCCAATGGTCCAGAAAAGGCTCCTGCTCATTCCCCAGCATAGGCTCGTCCTCAATCCCCCAAGTAAGGCTCCTGCTCATTCCCCAGCAAAGGCTCATCCTCAATCCCCAAGTAAGGCTCCTTCCTATTCCCCGTCAAAGGCTCATACTATTGCACCAATTATGGTTCCTACTCATCCCCATGCTCCAGCTCATTCCCCATACACCAATGAAGGCCGAAGCTCCAGTCCCACCAGTGGCTATTAAGCATGTTACATTCTGACAGGGTCTATTGTACTCAATCCTTCCACTTCATATTCGTTGATTTATTTATTTTTTATGTTGGTTAAATCATGTAATATGCTCTGAGATGGGGTGATAATAAGGGATTTCGTAAGCCTCTATGCAATCATAATGAGCTCTTATTATTAGTGGTGAATATTTTTGTTTAGCTTCAAATATCACAATCATGATGGCATTCTAATATGGATGATAATCTATAGTCCCTGATTTCAATTTCCAATGAAGTGCGAACAAGATAAGATACAAATTGAAAAGTGTAAGAAATTTTACAGTTTTTTATCAATATGAAGTTCATTGAGCTATTTACCTGAGGAGGAAAAAAAAAAAAAAAAAAAACAGTTCACTCCACATCCATTAGTTAAATTGAGATGTAAACCATCATAATTGACCTCAATAACGAAAACACAAATATAAAATAATCAATAAGAACCTGTGACAACTTCAGATGATGCATTTTTCTACTCTCCCCCCCCCCCCCCCCCCCCCCGCGCCCGGTGAAAGGAATAAGAATTACGAGGATATCTGTACTATTGCTCAAGTCTTATTGCATGCCTATCAAATTCAATAATATCCAAACAATCCAAATGACTTTATGGACAATCAAACCTGCACTTGAACAAAGTTTTGTGGTACAGGCAGTCCTCTTAAACAGCTCGAACAAAAGAAAAACTCACAGAGAACGCAAATTAGTCCATATAGTTTTAATGTTACGACTAGTGCTAACGTTTAAGAGGTGGCAGATTTTTAAATGACTTATTTTGGCAATGGCATACGCTGAGATAAAATTGACTGTAATGCAAAATTTAAGTCAAATTCAGCCACTCATCCTTACCTTGGTTGACAGTGAAGGAACTACTATGTTATAATCACTTGGATCAACTGAAGAAAGAAGGTCAAAAAGTATTGTGAAAAATCCGCATAATCTTGCATTTGATTCATTTGTTAGAAACACAAACGTTGTCAAATGTTCAAAAAAACTAAAATGAGATTGAGATTTGTTACTTCAATTGATAAAACAATTGAGGCGAGTGAGTTAGAACAATAAAATAAGATTTATAACTGCGGCTTGTGTTTGATATTGCCTTATTTTGGGGACGAAGATGAACAGACAATCTAACAGCACTAGAGCCATCTTCTAACTCTGCACATTGCTTGTTGCTGTCTAATTTATCACTCGAAACAACTCACACACACACACACACAAACACACATGCCAGCCATAATGTGTTTGGAACTCATCAATGTATTCTGCTATGAGAAGACCGACTCACAGGTAAGTCAAATTGAGCTATACTATATGTGAGAACAAGGCAATTAGTTTAATTGAGCAACTATATTAAGGACCGACACTTTTGAAAGAATACAACTTTTTTTGGCAAATGGTTATTTATATGATTTAAACTTTGGCTTATTATTTTGGAGGATTGCTACCGACTATGTTAAAAAGCTGAGGGCACGCATGTTAAGTATTTTAACTGATTGTGCACCAAGTTTTATCATTTTGTGAAGTGAGACTTTAATGATGACCAATAGTCTCTGTTTTAATTTTGTAATAAAATGTCTAAAAGCTAAGATAGTAAAAGGAAAGTATAATAAAATAATTCAGAACAGAGAACAAGAAATCTGAGATGTTACTGATATGATTATTGACTTTGATGGTAATAATGGCTTCATACAAATACATAGGGTACGTAACAAACTATTTAATTTTAATCCTATATAGTATGGGCATCTATATTAAATAAATTTGCTGGTCTGTAACCAAGTTGGGCCAAAGCCAGTAGTGCCACATGCTCTTTCACCATGAGGATAAGATATTGTCATCTGGTTGCTGCTTTTATTACTCAAAAAGAAAAAAAAAAAAAAAAAAGAAAAGAAAAAAAAAATTTGTTAAATATAAGTGATGCTATGTCAACTAAATCAAATTAATAAATGTTAAATATAACATACTGGAAAATGTTGATACAAAGATGTAACAGGAGAGTCAATCAATCTTAAACATAAGTGATTCAGCCAGTATGAAATTTTGACTTGTGTTGATTTTCTCGGATGCAGATTGGAACCATAAATTTTTATTAATGTAGTAGAGACACGAGCATGCATTCGCATTAAATGCATATACTATTAGATTGAATATAGGATAAGGATCAGAAGTGACTCAAATTTGAGAGATTTTTTGCCTCACCAAACATGTTTCACTGAACTAAAGTTTACTTCTTAGGAGTTAATGCAGTACTATTATCTAAAGAAAGCAATGCAGTTCTTTCTCCATCCTGCTGCAGGGACAAAATCCCAATTTTCGATTTCTGTCCAATTATTTAAATCTCAATCCCAAAAGAACTCTATCAAATTGCATTTATACCTGCAAAATGCAAAGATGCGCGTACTCTGAGATCCGTAAATGAATTGGTGATGAAAGCCTTTTCTTTTTTTTTTTCTATTAAAAAAAAAAAAATGATTCTCTTATTTCTGAAGTTGCTATGAAGCATCAGTTTGTACTTTAATAGTAAGTAACATATAGTGCAAACACTAATGCCTAGTTAACTCAGTGAATCTAACAGTACTGAATAGTTTGAATAAGGTTATAATAACACGTGATATCACATGTAAATAGTTGGATGAAGGAAGAATCCCACTGGCACTGTTTAAAACTTAATTTATTTTCAGTCCAAGACTCTAGCTAGGCCAGTATTAATCTAGCATCTATTACTAAGCCTCTTTGATACAAAATTAATGTACATTAGTCGGTCAAATCATGCCTAATCACATAAATAGTGTCTGGATGTAGCCTGTCTAAGGTATCATTTTTAATAAAGAGAGCCAATGTCAATATACATGTCCAGAAAGATGAAACACACATCAAACTTGCTTAAATCTAAATAGAAAGTACCTATTTGCATGTAACATGTAGTAATATCATAATACTAATAGAGAGAGGCTCATGTAAATTACAAAAACACCCCTATTCGAAGGCAATTTCCTCCCATCCAGATTTTTACTTCTGCTCAAATCGACCAGCAAGCAAGCCAGGAAGGCCAGAAGATAAGTGATGAAGCATCCATGAAAATTTGTGTCGGTTCGAATTTCTAAAAACTTCATGTGCCATTTAGTATATTATTATAACACACACTCTGAGGTGAGAATAGATATATTAGTTTAGCAGACACAATGCTTGAGGCATGTGGGTTGAAGCTCCAGTACTCAGATTTCGAACTTCTCCCAATATCTAATGTCGCACCGCTACTTGAAGCTGGCAATTGTTTTGACCAAAACCAGCTGGAAGTGATTGCTGTCTTCACTACTCAAACCTATATATATTACCACACTCCCATGCTGCTTATATCAACACCAATTAAGTAGCTTTCTGCACTTAGTAGCTACTTTTGTTCCTACAATGGCTTTTAAAGCTATGCTCTTCCTGTTGGCCTCTTTCCTTTTAGTTACTGCTAGGGTATGTTACTCTCTCAATCTTCTTTCTTTCCTTGATAAATAATGACCTTAGTTGGGAAACCAACGATTAAAACCTATTTTCTCATTGTTTTCCACAACTATGTGAGATTGTGTTTTTTTCCCTTGTTGTTCCTCAATGTTACCTCAAATTTGCTAACATCTTTTGCTCTTGTAGGTTTCGTCAAAAGAGGAAGAAGAATTCCTAATGGAGGTAATGTCAAGACAATAATGCCGGGCTTGTTTTAATGTTTTTGTTTGTGCTTTTTAAGGACTTCCAAATATGCTGTCATGTTTGTGCATTGTCACATTGTGCATGTTTTGAAGAAACAGGGCTGTTCAATCAGGTTCTATATGATTGTAAAGGAAATGATTACATTCATAGTATCAGTCAAGACTTAAGGGTGGCTCGGGTTTTAAGATCTTAGGATGACAAGTCAAGAACATGTATTTTTCTTTTGATGTGATGAATTTTGATTGAGCAACTGTATTAACGAACATGAACCATCTCATAATATGCTCTAGGCTGCTTATGCTAAAGTCCCAGTACCTGCTCCAGCTCATATTCCGGTAAAGGCACCACCTCCTGCTCATGTCCCAATTAAAGCACCACCTGCTTCTCCTCCAGTCAAGGCACCAGCTCCTCCAGTTAAGCCCCCGGTTTCTTCTCCTCCAGTCAAGGAACCAGCTCCTCCAGTTAAGCCCCCGGTTTCTTCCCCTCCAGTTAAGCCGCCACCAAAAACAACAGCAGGTAGCATATTTTTCCCTACTGCACATAGATGTTTGAAACTAACTTCCAGTAGCCAACCTAAATTTTAAATTTTTTAACAATGTGTTTGGTGGTTTGGGTCCAGATTGCATCCCCTTATGTAAAGAAAGGTGCGGTGCACATTCAAGGAAGAGACGATGCTTGAGGGCATGTGTGACGTGCTGTGATCGATGCAAATGTGTTCCACCAGGAACATATGGTAACAGAGAGAAGTGCGGCAAGTGCTACACGGATATGACCACCACCGGTGGCAAACTGAAGTGCCCATGATATCGAGTTTGCTACTACTTTTTTTTCAGTGAGACGGGAAATTAAGGCTTGTTACATTGGCTAAATATGTAATAAATTTGATAATGAGAACAAAATAAATGGTTCTTCAGTGACCATTACCAACTGCAACAATTAATGACAAAGTAGACTTGTAGCAAAGTCTCATATTCTATATTTTGTAATTCGACTTTCACAAGATCATTTCATTTTTAATAATATTATTAGTTTTTTTCCCCAAATACTACTTGTAACGACCCTAGCTGATGCCAAAATTTAAAAAAAATTCGGCATAACCTCCCCTAAAAATGGGCCTTCAACAACCTGTCCCAATACACAAAACACATAAAATCATCTAGCATCCCATTCATCCGTTCATTATACCTTAACATAGTTCCTTTCATGGTGGAACATTCACACACCAATTAATCTAAATTATCACAATTACAGTCCCAAAATACAAGATTAATATTTAAAGTCCATGTCTTACAACGTTACATGATACAATTGCATGGAAACATATACCATAATTCCACTAGTTTCATTTACATAAAACAAAAGATAAGTTCGTTCTTAAGTTACAAAGTCATGAATACTAACTTAGTTACATTTCCACAATTACGAATATACATAGAACGGTCAAAATATAAAATAGCAAACAACCTTCTAACAACTTTCAAGCTTGAGGTGGATTATCGTCCACCAGTTCATTTCCAAAACCTGAAAAAAATAATATAAATAGTAGGGTGAGCATAAAGCTCAGCAGGTGACACTTAAGACACACATCTTGTGTCCTTGTGAATCCAAACAAAGCATAGGCCAATGGGAAATGGGAATCATACAATGTCGAGAAATAATACAGCATAACGATTCAATGTCAAGTATATCCAATGCAATGGTATGAGATGCAATGCATGCTAGTGTCGCTCCCCATTTTCATAATCCAAAACATTATTTCCAAACTGTTAATACAGCCCGCCCTTTGGTAGCCCCGCCGCGACACGAGAGGAGGATTGGCTAGTGTCCCTGACCCTTGGTAACCCCGCGGCGTCATTATGGGGCCCAGCTAGCTCAACCACGCTAGGGCGACTCCCTAATCCCCTCTAGGCTATATTAACCTCCGGCCCGTTGGTAACTCCGCAGCGACCGAGTTTCGCATAAAACCATTTCATCAAAAACACTTCCCTGAAATTCCCCATATTTATTTCAAAAACAATTTCTCCCATTTCATGCAAACCCAATGGTATGTGTATGTATATATGTTCCATACATTCAATGTCATGGCATTTAAAATTCTACACCATAAAATTAAACATTCAACATGTTCAATATCTCCCAAGTAATTATTAACACATTAAGATATAACAAAATACATTTAAGCATGCTTTACCCATAAAACAACTCACATTCAAATACATGAATTTCTCTAGACAACATTTAAAATAATCATTGATACAATTAACTTCTAATTAAGCATGCTTGGCACAACAAATGATTATAACTCACAATAGAACAAGAAGGTAGTGGATTAAGGTGTCCCTACCTCAAATTTGCACAAAACCCTTAAAACGGGTCTTGAATTTCAAACTCTAAGAAGGGCACCAAATCTGGAATTGTTCGTATGGATGCGTAGAGCTCGTCGTGGGCTTCGTTTTGCCTCAAATGGCACCTAAATCCGCCAAGTAATGACGAATAAATCTTGCCTCAAAGATTGGGTTGAAAAAGAAAAGAAAATGAAATAGAAAATTGAGAGAGAGATAGATACGGGGAGAGAGAAAGAATGAGAGACCAAAAATGGTCTCTAGCCACTTAAGGCTTAGTGGTGGGACCCACCAAAAATTCTTTTCTTTTCTCTTTTTCTTTTTGTTTTAAACCACACCACACACACAAATATATACACATATGCACATATATATATTGACATAGACATTACATTCTCCCCAACTTTCAAAAGATTTCGTCCCCGCAATCAAGCCATACCTGGAGAAGAAAACAACTCTGGATACTTGGAGCGAACCTCCTGTTCGAGCTCCCAAGTAGCCTCCTCGACTCCGTGGTGTCTCCAAAGGACTTTCACCATTGGTATCGTCTTGTTCCTCAACACATTTTGTTGTGTGTTAAGAATCTAAACTGGTCCTTCCTCGTAGGAAACATCCTCATCAATGTCTACATCAACCCAACTCAAAATGTGAGATGGATCTGGCTCGTACTTCCGTAACATCGATACATGGAAAACATTGTGGACCCTATCCAACTATGGTGGCAAAGCAAGTCTGTAGGCAACCTCTCCTACAAGGTCCAAAATCTCAAATGGTCCAATGAATCGTGGAGACAATTTGCCACTTTTCCCGAATCTCATCAATCCCTTCCGTGGAGAAACCCGAAGAAAAACGTGGTCTTCCACCTCAAAGGATAACGACCGTCTCCGCTTATCCGCATAACTCTTCTGTCGGCTATGAGCTGTAAGTAACCTCTGTCTTATCAACTTAATCTTCTCAGTAGTCTCGAGTACAATGTCAGGTCCTAAGGCGGCTGTCTCGCCTACCTCAGTCCAACAAACAGGAGACCTACAAGGTCTACCATACAACACCTCAAATGGAGCTATCTGAATGCTCGCCTGATAACTGTTGTTGTAGGCAAATTCAATAAGTGAAAGATGATCCTCCCAACTACCACCTAAGTCAAGCACACATGCCCGAAGCATATCCTCCAAAATCTGGATAGTACGCTCCGACTGACCGTCAGTCTGTGGATGGAATGCCGTACTCAGGTGCAACGCTGAGCCAAACGCTGCTTGAAGTCCTTCCCAAAACTTCGAAGTGAACTTATCATCCCTATCTGAAACAATGGTTACTGGAACTCCATGCAACCTTACAATCTCCTTCACATAAAGAACACCAAGCTTCTCTGCATCATCTGTTGCCTTAATAGGCAAAAAGTGAGCCGTCTTGGTCAATCTGTCAATGATGACCCATACGGACGCATTGCCCCTTCGTGACCTTGGAAGACCTGTCACAAAATCCATAGCAATATGCTCCCATTTCCATTGCGCTACAGGTAATGGTTGCAACAAACCGGCTTGTCTCTGATGCTCGGTCTTCACCTGCAGACAGGTAAGGCATCTAGCCACAAACTGTGCAATATCTTTTTTCATCCCGTTCTACCAATACTGACGTCTCAAATTTTGATACATCTTGGTACCACCTGGATGAACTGCAAAGCGGGAAGTGTGAAACTCCCGTAAAACGTCCTCATGACAAACAGTAGGAACCACCAACAAAACCCTGAACCGTAGACCCCCATCTGTATACAAAGCCCAATCTTTCACTGTCTCACCACTGGAGATCAAAGCGTGAATGGCATCTAAATCCGGGTCCTGTCTATGTGACTCAATCACTCGTACAACAAGAGTAGGCTGAGCCATAAGACTAAACAAGAATGCTGGCTCGCTGTCAACATCATCATCAAAACAATACAATCCCATCTCTGCCAAATCCTTAAGCATCTTCCACTTCCGAATAACCAGACAGGCCAAAGTTCCACGAGATTTTCGGCTTAAGGCATCTGCTACCACATTTGCCTTACCCGGATGATACTGCAAGTCAAAATTATAATCTTCCAAGAATTCAACCCATCTTCTCTGTCTATTGTTCAAGTCCTTTTGGGAGAAAAGGTACTTGAGACTTTTATGATCCGAGTACACCTCAAATCTTTTACCATACAAGTAGTGTCTCCAACACTTCAAAGCAAACACAACTGCCGCCAACTCCAAATCATGAGTAGGGTAGTTGTACTCGTGAGTCTTTAACTGTCGAGACCCATAAGCCACTATTCTACCATCCTGCATCAACACACACCCTAAACCATCACGTGAAGCATCACAATAGATCACATAACATAAGCCACGCTCAGGTATCACCAACACTAGAGCCGTAGTCAATCTTGTCTTCAATTCCTGGAAAGATGACTCACAGGCTTCATTCCATGCAAACTTAATCCCTTTCCGGGTTAAACAGGTCATAGACGCTGCCAAACGGGAGAAATCTTTTATAAATCTCTGGTAGTAACCCGTTAAACCAAGAAAACTATGGATCTCAAACACATTCTTGGGTTGCTCCCAATTCAAAACAGCTTTAATCTTTGATGGATCAACTGATACTCTGCCTTCTGAAACAACATGTCCCAAAAACTTCACCTCTTGTAGCCAAAACTCACATTTCTCATATTTGGCATACAACCGGTGCTCCCGCAAAATCTGTAAAACAATACTTAAATGGATCTCGTGTTCCTCCGAGATCGTGAATACACAAGAATGTTATTCACGAAAACTACCACAAACTGGTCCAAGTAATCGTGAAAGACGCGGTTCATTAAGTCCATGAATGCCGCTGGAGCATTAGTCAAGCCAAAAGGCATAACAAGGAACTCATAGTGTCCATACCGTGTACGGAATGCTGTCTTCGGGATATCCTCATCCCTAACCCGCAACTGATTATAGCCAGACCTCAAGTCAATCTTGGAGAAACAACTGGCTCCCCTCAACTAATCAAATAAATCATCTATCCTTGGCAAATGATACTTGTTCTTGATGGTGGCGCGATTCAACTTCCGATAATAGATGCACAACCTCAAAGAACTATCTTTCTTCTTAGCAAACAAGACCGGTGCGCCCCATAGTGACACACTCGGTCAGATGAGACCTTTCATCCTCAAATCATCAAGCTGTCTTTTTAATTCCTCCAATTCAACTGGTGCCATACGATATGGTGCCATAGAAATCAGCGCGGTACCTGGCATTAACTCAATAGAGAACTACACTTCTCGGTGTGGAGGCAACTCTGTCAAATCCTCCGGAAACACATCCAGAAAATCACGAACAACTGCAGGATAATATTTTTCCACAACATCATCCTCTTCGGTTATAAGGGTAGCCAAAAAGTAATCACCATGACCCCGTCCACGAATTCCATAAAACGATGAAATGTGGGAATCACTCCGATCTCCCACGAAAAATAAACAGTCTCCCTCGGGAGTACAAACTATAACCCTTTCTCTGAAACAGTCGATCGTGGCATGAAAAGAAGCTAACCAATCCATCCCGAGAATGACATCAAAGCTAGTCATTTCTAGGAGGATAAGGTCAAACACAAAAGTCCGCCCGGTTATCACAATGGAACAGTCCCTCACAACTCGGCTCAAAGACACTGAAACTCCAATTAGCGTATCAACACATAACGCCCGATCCATAAAATTGACCTCTAACCCCGATGCAAGTGCAAATGATGATGAAATGAAAGAATGAGATGCACCAGAATCAAACAAAACACGGGCCCAAGAATGAAACACTGGAAATATACCTCGGAGAACTGAAGATCTAGGAGATGCATCAGTCGATGATGCAAGGGCAAAGACACGCCCCTGCGGTGCCTGTGCCTGTGAACTACTAATCTGAACACCAGACTGTTGTGCCGACTCGGTAGGAGTATCCCTCCTAGCTGGTTGTGAACCCTGAGAAGACAAGGCAGGCTATGGTGGTGACGGCGGTGGTCTGAAACCTGATTGAACTGTAGCTGACTGTAACGGCCTCTGCCGTGACCCTCTGCCACTAGTGGTGCCTGCTCCCTGACTCGGACAGTCCATAATCAAATAGCCCTGCTGGCCACACCCATAACAAGCCTTCAGAGCTGAAGAAACTGAAGTCAATCTCATAGGACAACTGGACTTGTAATGCCCAGGCTGCTGACATTGAAAGCAAACAATTGCATTCCTATCAGACCCAGCTGGCAACGGAGTGGTAGGAGCAGATCGTGCAGACTGCTGTCCCTGAAACTGAGATGGACCGCCCCTGTTCTTTTTCCAAGAAGATCCTTCTGAAGATGGCCCTGCACCCCTCTTTTGCTTCAACTGCTCTCTTCTTGCATCCTTCTCTTTATTATCAGCTTCCAGCATCAAAGCCCTTTCCACTGCTTCAGAGTAAACCTTAATGAACTGTGCTGTGATTAACGGCCTCATCCGATCATTAAGACCAGAAACAAACTTCTGAGTCTTGTTAACTTCATCTCTCACCATTTCTGGAGCAAAGCGAGAAAGTGAAGTGAACTTGTTTTCATATTTTGCCACTGACATGCTCCTTTGGATAAGGTTATGAAATTGGTCTTGTAACTCCCATCTTTTGGAAAGCGGAAAGTACTTTTCATAAAACAATTCCTTAAACTTGTCCCAACTCATCTCTTCCACTTTGTATCGGCTCGTAACCGACTTCCACCATAATTTAGCATCCTTAGCAAATTTATAAGTAGCTAGGATGATCTTCAAATGATCCTCTGTCACATCCATAAAAGTCAATTGAGTTTCAACTTGCTCCATGTAGTCATCCGCTATCATTGGATCTGCACCGCCCTCAAACATAACCGGCATCAGCTGAGAAAACCCCTTAATAATCTTAAGACGCTTCTGAGCTGGCGTCTCCTCAACTTGAACTGTAGGTTGTGGTACCGACTGCAACTGAGCAGCAATCGTTGCCCTCACGACATTTTGTAACAAACGATTAAACTCTAGTGCCACAGAACCTTCACCCACTTCTACGAGTGCTTCAACATTATCCCTCCTTGTGGGGACAGTTCTCGGGGGAATCAAGTCCCTAAAAAGTGTGTCCTCATCATTTAGCTCCTCCGGATTAGAGCTAGAGCTCTGGCCAACATTACCCCTAGTCGGTCTAGGGCCAACTTCCATGATTTCCTCACGCCGTGACATCATTCTATAAAACAAAGGAAACAATTCAATAACGATAACACTAAGGTCCAACCGTGAACAACCCAACGCAAAAACATACTGTACAAACATTTAGCATATAATACTATGCAATGAACACATTAACGTAAGCATATAAACATATAAGCACGTAAGCAAGTAAGCAGTTAAGCATGCTTTTTCACATAGCAAAACACTTTTCCAAACAAGGAAATAACAATGCAAATGACTTCCCAGACAACCCTAGGCAAGCCTCTACCCGTCATCCTAATGGTATTCGAACCATCGCTCTGATACTAAATTTGTAACGACCCTAGCTGATGCCAAAATTTAAAAAAAATTCGGCATAACCTCCCCTAAAAATGGGCCTTCAACAACCTGTCCCAATACACAAAACACATAAAATCATCTAGCATCTCATTCATCCGTTCATTATACCTTAACATAGTTCATTTCATGGTGGAACATCCACACACCAATTAATCTAAATTATCACAATTACAGTCCCAAAATACAAGATTAATATTTAAAGTCCCTGTCTTACAACGTTACATGATACAATTGCATGAAAACATATACCATAATTCCACTAGTTTCATTTACATCAAACAAAAGATAAGTTTGTTCTTAAGTTACAAGGCCATGAATACTAACTTAGTTACATTTCCACAACTACGAATATACATAGAATGGTCAAAATACAAAATAGCAAACAACCTTCTAACAACTTTCAAGCTTGAGGTGGATTGTCGTCCACCAGTTCATTTCCAAAACCTGAAAAAAATAATATAAATAGTAGGGTGAGCATAAAGCTCAGCAGGTGACACTTAAGACACACATCTTGTGTCCTTGTGAATCCAAACAAAGCATAGGCCAATGGGAAATGGGGATCATACAATGTCGAGAAATAATACAGCATAACGATTCAATGTCAAGTATATCCAATGCAATGGTATGAGATGCAATGCATGCTAGTGTCGCTCCCCATTTTCATAATCCAAAACATCATTTCCAAACAGCCCGCCCTTTGGTAGCCCCACCGCGACACGAGAGGAGGATTGGCTAGTGTCCCTGACCCTTAGTAACCCCGCGGCGTCATTATAGGGCCCAGCTAGCTCAACCTTGCTAGGGCGACTCCCTAGTCCCCTCTAGGCTATATTAACCTCCGGCTCGTTGGTAACCCCTCAGCGACCGGGTTTTGCATAAAACCATTTCATCAAAAACACTTTCCTAAAATTCCCCATATTTATTTCAAAAACAATTTCTCCCATTTCATGCAAACCCAATGGTATGTGCATGTATATATGTTCCATACATTCAATGTCATGACATTTAAAATTCTACACCATAAAATTAAATATTCAACATGTTCAACATCTCCCAAGTAATTATTAACACATTAAGATATAACAAAATACATTTAAGCATGCTTTACACATAAAACAACTCACATTCAAATAGATGAATTTCTCTAGACAACATTTAAAATAATCATTGATACAATTAACTTCTAATTAAGCATGCTTGGTACAACAAATGATTATAACTCACAATGGAACAAGAAGGTAATGGATTAAGGTGTCCCTACCTCAAATTTGCACAAAACCCTTAAAATGGGTCTTGAATTTCGAACTCCAAGAAGGGCACCAAATCTGGAATTGTTCATATGGATGCGTAGAGCTCGTCGTGGGCTTCGTTTTGCCTCAAACGGCACCTAAATCCGCCAAGTAACGAAGAATAAATCTTGCCTCAAAGATTGGGTTGAACAAGAAAAGAAAATGAAATAGAAAATTGAGAGAGAGATAGATACGGGGAGAAAGAAAGAATGAGAGACCAAAAATGGTCTCTAGCCACTTAAGGCTTAGTGGTGGGACCCACCAAAAATTCTTTTCTTTTCTCTTTTTCTTTTTGTTTTAAACCACACCACACACACATAAATATATACACATATGCACATATATATATTGACATAGACATTACACTACTTACTTCATGGAAAGCAACCAGATTGAAGAAGGTCAAGTGCCTAACACAGTCAGGACATATATAATGTCTTGGAACTCAAAATCTAATAAGTCCCCAATAGTTTAATGAAGTCTAGCAAAATGAGCCTGATTCATGAGTTTCTGTTGTCCAATTGAAATAATTTATTTTCAAAACAGTTGCACAAGGTTTTGGCTGTTTGGAGAACATAATTGAAATAAAACACACTTGAGAGGATAAATCTGAGCTGATTTTCGATAAAACTGGACATGTAACGCGACACGTCCAGATTCTTCATGTTTGACGCAGATGTAGCAGAATTGCATCGCAGTGGCACAAGCCTCGTGCATTAGGCTAGCCCTTTTTATTGATGTGGCAAAATTGCATTAGGAATTTAGTGAACCATCATATAAAGAGACTAGTGCAGGCAATGTCCTTTGACTAGCAAAGAGAAGCACATCCACATGATAAGGTTGAAAATGCTACAGATGGGATCAATAAAAATTCTTCAACCATTTGTCTTCCTTGGTGGATTTTGATCAAAGGACTACTACTAAATCAGTGGAATATCAATCTGCAAACAACCCACAAAGAACATGGTTAAAAAGGAAATATTGGTTCTCTAATTGCAACACTAGTTTTTTTTTGGAGATAATTGGTTTTTCATTTCCTGCCAATTTACTTAAAATTTAAAAATCCAGTGAAGGAAAATAGATGGAAACAATAATAAAAGAAAAAATCTGTCACAGTACATGTTGAGCTGACAAAAATGGTTGACTATATAGAATTGACATATACTAGATTATAAGAAAGAAACAAAAATATCCTACATTAATTGGCCATTGGTATTGCCACCATGCCAGCAATTCACGTTGTTACAAATTGTCAGCTCATGTCATCTGATCTCTTTGTGCAAATGTCTCTAGCTCTAGATTATATGGTAAGAACATCCAAAAGACAAGAACATAAAACAAGCAACAAAAGTCATATTCCTACCTTGTAGACAGCACATCAGAGCTAGGGGATTTCTATATATAGTGAGTGAAGCATAAGCCATAATGCTATAACTTTGTTAACTATATATCCAACTGCTTTGAGCAAGAAAACACAAGGCATGGCTTTCCAAAAGACCGCAGTTGTTTTCACCATTTAGCTCACTGTCATGGCGATGGCAATCAATGCACTAGCAACATCAGCCCCAGCCCCTGCCCCAACTGATGACGCTCCAAAACTTGATTCGATTCAGACAATGCTGAGTGAAGCATAAGCCATAATGCTATAACTTTGTTAACTATATATCCAACTGCTTTGAGCAAGAAAACACAAGGCATGGCTTTCCAAAAGACCGCAGTTGTTTTCACCATTTAGCTCACTGTCATGGCGATGGCAATCAATGCACTAGCAACATCAGCCCCAGCCCCTGCCCCAACTGATGACGCTCCAAAACTTGATTCGATTCAGACAATGCTGATTGGATTTGTTGGCGTTGCCATTTCGTTCTTTGTCCTGAATTAAAGCTGGCTTGAGCCTCCTGTTTTGCTCAATTTTCGTCATTTTGATGTGCTAAAATATGTTCTGTGTTGAAGTTCTCGTCTCTGGATGGTACTGAGAGTCTGAGACTGCAGTGTTGGTATTAGTCATGTGTTCTGTTGTCTTGTGTAGTAGTAAACTCTCTTCGTCTGAAGCATTTGTTTCCATCTTTTTCTTTTTTACATCAATAAAATTAAACCCTTCATAATCATGAACATGTGACATGCTGCAAAATTATTTATTTTATGGAATCTGAGTCATATAAGCAATTCTCCATGTTTGGTAGCAATTCTAAAACATTGATTTATTTTGTTTTAGTAATTTGAGACAAGTTGTGTAATGACCTGGTCATTTTTTTTTCCTTTTTTTTCGGTAATTTCTTTTTTCGTCTTTTTCTCTATTTCGTCATTTTCTCGTTTATCATTTTTCCTTGCATAACCTCACATTTTGTGCTCAGATTTGATTCCGACTTTGCATACATCCATAATAATTGAATTCCAAGATAACTGTATTTTCACTTTTTTAGAAAAGCATGATAGATAATTACTTTTCTTGGACAAGGTATGGATGCATAATTTCTTGGAAATATTCTTGACTTTTTGGGGTTTTGGTGTAATTATGCAAAGTAATTATTTTTCGGCTTAGGGATCATTTTGCAAATTAATTTGAAAGATATTTTGAAAAGGGATCTTTTTGCATTTTCCAAAAAGTGTGACAAATGTCACATTCTCATGGTGTCACTTGTTGACAATTTGGTGGAACCACTTGGATATTTAGTTTGATGACACATGGAGGGTGGAGATTCACCCACTTGTTGGTCTAGGATAAGTGCACTTATTGGCTTGGATGGTTAACAAGTGTAGGCTTAGGATTAAGCCTAGGAAGGAGTCATGGATTGGTAACAAATGTAGGCACCAAATAGAGTCTTGCATTGTGTATGTATGAGAGGTAATGTAAGAACACCTAGTGAGTGGAGGAATACTAGATCCTCTACCCACCACTTTTCATTTTATCTCATCTTCATTCCCTTTGTTCTCATCCGAACCTAACCTCCGTTGAAGGAAAAGCTTAGCTTAGGGCTTTTGACTTCATTTTGGCCTTTTTCCACTCACCATAGACTCTTAAGCTTGGAATACTTTTGCTTCCTCTTACTCTCCTCTACAAAACCCTAGTTTGATTTTTCATTCTAAGCTTGGCTGCTTTGGATTATAGAGATTCAATTCTTTTTTGAGGTATGGGGTGTTCTAGTTTATTATCCAAGTGAATTAATTATTCTTGTAAAGATGTATAAGTTGTATGCATGTCTTTTATTAATTTGAGAAATTAATGATTAAGTGTAGCTTGCATATAACTCACTTTAGACTTGATATATGGCATGGTCATGACTTGATCTTTGTTGTATATTTATTTGTGATGATTTAAATGAGTTTTCAAATCTAGATATTTAATAAATTTAATTTGATTTAAATTCTACTTAATTGTACCTTGCTAATATTTCATTTTTGACTTGATATATGACATGGCCATGACTTAATCCTTATTATATATTAACTTGGAATCATTTGAATAACTCTTGAAATCTAGAGAAATTAATTAATTAGTTTAATTAATTTCTATTTTATTATTCTAATGATTTAGTCATGTATTTCATGGAGCTTTTGTGTTTTTATCATATATCATGACTTGTTACTCAACTTGTTGGTTTTGGAAACTTGGAATATCATCAAGAACTTGATATGGCTAGGATTTGGTTCTAGTACGGGAGATAGAGAGCTCCCTACACTATATTGCACACTAAGGGAAGGTACCCATGGGTTAATAGCCCTAAAGTGATCCCAAGAGTAAAGTTTTAATTTGGGCGATATCTAAGTATCCACTTTAGTTTGATTTCGCACTTTAAATACCAAGTTAATAACCTTGAGAGTCAGAACGATCGACCTTGAGATTCAGAATGACCGACCATGTAGGTCAGAACGACCGACCATGTAGGTCAGACTGACCGACCCTTCCTTACTGACTTGCGCATTTGACCGTCTCTGTAAGGTTGTGGTATCTTTTAATCGGAGGATGCCTCCTTATTCTATTTTTATATCTTTTTCGTCCAGACTCCGAATCAGGTGATTCTTGGGTCCAACCTTGTTCATTTTCGTTGTCTTTCCAATGGTGTGCGCGGTGGCATCCATTTTAGTTTGAAATGACCATTTTACTCCTTTTGTTTCCGCATTTCGGATTCATTATCGGGTTAACTTTCGGGTCATCACTGACGTACCGGATTTATAAAACTTGGGCCGTCACAGGTTGAAATTGGTGTGGCAACTGAAAGTCACCATATGCATCTACTATTTATTTTTAAAAGGGTTAAAGTAAATTTATTAAGTGGTGAAATCTAAATTAGACTTCTGTTAAAAAAAAAAAAAATTTAAAATACAATTTGAGTAATTTTAAGAAATTTCAAGCTGAAACTAAAACAAATACTAATACTATATTCTTTTAACCAAGTAAAGACCATATCTTCTCTGAACCGGCAAAAGTAGATTAGCTTCCAAGAGCAAATAGGGTCAAACCTTTAAAATTTTAACAAATTATATCATATTCTCTCTCTCTTAGAAAGTTGTGTGGCACGCAACACTGCTTAGTTCTATGTATCAGAGCTTCATACTAATGGAATTTCTTTAGAATTTTGTCAATCATACATACAATTGTGGTTGGATTCTGTGGTGTATCAGTACAAGAATAAAATATACATCTTCTGAATTCGGAGGTTTCTGAATGGAAAATACGTGAATAGGGTGTACGTGATAAGTTCTCTCATGTACACCTCCTTCCTTAGACATTTTTTGAATTCAGAAGATATATAATTACTCTTAATATAATCTTACTAACCAAGATTTCAAGCTCAAGAGCCAGAAACAGATTTGGTATAATTGGGTCTCTCAGAGGCATCTAGAACCTATCCAAAGAGGCTATTTGCTTTTTTTTGTCTACTTAAAGCAAGCCCATTATTAAAATGACATGCAGGTCCCTCCTGATTTTGTGCAAAACTGCAAATTAATGTAACGACCCTAAAAAAGATACCAATTATAAAAAAAAAAAATCGGCATGACCTCTGCTAAAAAGGGTCTGCGCAACAACCTACTGAAATGCATGAAAAAAAAATAAAAAATAAAATAAAATAAAAACAATGGCCTCTCTTGGACCTTCAAAACTAATCTAACATGTCCCAACACACAATGCAAATAATATAAAATATTTCCGAAACAACAACATCAACAACCTCTTCAAAGTAGCCCATCATCATCATCCCATTCATCCAGGACAAGGAATACCTGTCTTATACATAGACCCATGCTCACATACTAGAATTTTACTCCAATTACATCAATTTACAATT